ATTCAAACTCTTCCCATTGTATAATGTATTGGGTTATGTAGATTGTCATATACATAGATATTGCATTATGTCAATACGACGTTGTTTTGAATACGACTGTAAAATAAACTTGGATGTTGAACCACAAGATTATCTCATGCAAGCAAACCATACGAGTGTATTTTGGCAGTGCTACAAGTTTGTTGACCAACTCATGTATGACGATATCAGCACAAACTCGATTGATCCAACAGCCATATATACACATTGTTATCAGTTACATCGAGTGATCGTTCAAATAGGTCGATTCAGATGGGTTGCATATAACCGATTAATCCAGCATTCATCCATTGTCAAACAACCATAATGCACAATACCACCAAGTGTGCGATTACACACGCACTGATCAGTCGTTGCACAGTATGCATCAGTCAATGTCAAACATATGTGTGTCTGCAACTAAATTGCAGTCCATGACACATCCACACAATCCAACATGACAAATCATGTATCATGAGTCCAAGATTGATCAAAAACCTGATCATGGTAAACACAGCATGTTGTTGCATATCAGACTCGATATATCGAGTGACAGTTGCACACTGGCTGATGGTTCACAGCGTATCAGTCACAATACATGCACGGTATTGCATTGCAGTCATTGGATGACAGCTGGTTGCAATGTGATACTGATCGACATACATCAGCATGATGTGATGTGACCATAACCATGATGGAATGCGTTGGAGTTGACCTGTTTTGTACCGAGTTGGGTCATGGCTGACACAAGTTTTACATTGATCCAGATCTGAATGGATAGTTGGTTGACAGAAATGTGTACAAATATGCAGTATACAATGTGTTGTATTGGAAATATACAAGTGTCAAGGTACAATATCATGCTGACCAAGGCTGTAGCATGATAAGATACAATACATGTAAATCCAATTTTATTGTAAGTAGAATCAGAAATGCAGTTATAGAATGACAATCGAATAGGTTGAAACCAGATCAAACTAGCATTCAGATCGATTGGATTGATTTCCACATCCGATTCGCCTGAGTCGATCGATAAGTGATCTAAACCCATCACCAAGTCTGGAGAAAGCATTACGTATACTAGAAGAAGCTCTCTGTCCAAAGGAGGAAGCTTTCTGTTTGAAGGAGCGAGATTCAGACTGTGTTTGCGGTTGTAAATGCAGACGCTGTTGATGATCACTAGGATCTTGATCAGAACCCTTCTTGCATTCTGATGATTTTTCACATAGTCCTTCAAGGTATCCCTTAAAGACAGGGTGTACGCGGATAAGCGAAAGTTTCTGATTAAGCGACTGGACGTTCCAAGGCTCTCCAAAAACGCACTCCACGAGTTGTATTTTGACGAGTTTCAGTTCAAAATCCAAACGATCATACTTGGACTTGCATTCTTCAAAACCTTTTTTAAGCTTGTCAAGTTTGAAATATTGACCTTCAAGCTCAAACTCGACCTTTCTAATCTTGCCATTATGTTTTGAGCTGCCGCCATTTTTTCCAGATTTACCTTTCAAAGCTTGAATGCGTTTCTTTAGATCGCTTAGCAGTTTATGTTGATCATAGTATTCAGATTTTATTGACTCGCATACTTTTCGTTGTTCATTGCGACTATGTCGTCTTTCTAAGTATTCTTTGAGCAAATCCTCGATGTTACTTGGAAGTGAGACAAGGTTGTCCAAGTCTATACCATTTTTATCGGGAGTTGGCAAAGAGCTAGGATAAGTAGTTGTAGCCACACTGGGAAGAACTGTTGAAGCGCTAGATTCAGTACTTGTAATTTCACTGGGATCAATTGGAGTAGCAATAGTAACCGAGCAGGCAAGCAGGATTGATGACAATACGACAATTAAAAGTTTCATTCTACTGGTTTGATTAAGCAAGTTGTAATGTCATTCAACAGGTCTGATTTGAATTGTATTTATACATCATCAAGCGGACAGTGTTAAAAGCATGTTTTCATATGACCGTCCTAAAAAACTAGCGCTATTGTCAGGGTTGGTAATAATTTATTACTATCAATGTTAAACTTTAAAGGGATCTTCCTTTATATGACGATTCGTAATTTTGATCAACAATTGCTTGTGTATTCAAATATCGTATGATCAATTCTACAGTTTTCCGCCCTCGTCCACCCTAAAAGGGTCAGTACGTCACAATATAGCCAAGCACAAACCAAGTAAAACTGTACGCAGCTGGCTGACATTCAGTTATTAGTCGGCCATTAACATGTGTTGTGATATTGTATGTTGTGTGCTACTATATCAATATCGATTGTCACTATATAGTTGTATCAACCACACATCATGATCATATGTCATGGTTGACTTGTATTCTGGATTGATGCACTCATTTCATCACTCGAGCAACTCGTTGTACGACTCATTGTATGACTCGTATATACACTGCAATTGGATCAAGCCACTCACCATCATAGCATTGTTGAGCATAGATCAACAACTGCGATCAATGTTACACTGCCGTGCACAATCGATTGCAGTCCATACCAGTTATAGTTGATCACAAATGACACGGTGTATATTGATAGTGTTGCATTTGAATACATGTCATGATGATCAATATCAATCACACACAGCTGGTACATGCATGAGTAATGACGACATTTGATGACTGCAACAATCGATACCAATCGTGTTGAGTGAGTTGATACATTGCAATGACATCGAATGCGCGATATCAACAGCTGGAATATGATATACTGGTGCAAGTATTGTGACTTTTACATGGTGGTTCAGTTATCCATACACATCATTGTCATGCAAACACATTTATCAACAATGCAATATTATAGTTGGCATGATCGTATTGCACCAATCAGCTACTATACGATCACTGAATACATCAATATGTGTATATTAAACACAGTGGCAGTATTTGATTGTAATTGTTCATTTTTTTGAATGGATTTATTTAAAATAAACTCGGGTATTGAGATATGAAATGATCTCATGTGAACAGGCTGTAATCGTACAAGCATATACTGGTGGTGTTACAAGTGTATTGGTCAACTGTTGTATGACTGTCCCGGTGATGGTGTCAGGGTTGTGTCTGTTACCACTGGTACACTACCAGCAGAAACTCAACTAATCAAACAGCCATGTATACACATTGTTGTCAGTTACATCGAGTGTTTGTTCAATAGGTCGATTCAAATGGGTTGCATATAACCGACTAATCCAGCATTCATACATTGTCAAACAACCATAACGCACAATACCACCAAGTGTGTAATTACACACGCACTGATCAGTCATTGCACAGTATGCATCGGTCAATGTCAAACATATGTGTGTCTGCAACTAAATTGCAGTCCATGACACATTCACACGATCCAACATGACAAACCATGTATTGAGTCCGAGATTGATCAAAAACATGATCATGGTAAACACAGCATAGTGTTGCATATCAGAGTCGATATATCGAGTGACAGTTGCACACTTGTTGATGGTGCACAGCGCATCAGTCACAATACATGCACGGTATTGCATTGCAGTCATTGAATGACAGTCGTTTGCAATGTGATACCGATCGACATACATCAGCATGATGTGATGTGACCATAATCATGGTGGAATGTGTTGGAGTTGACATTGTGAGTTGACAATCGATACACCATGCACATGACTGGAACATATATATTCGAGTGTGGTTTGGTTGGTGTCAGATTGATCATGCAATCACATTGGTGCAACGAGTGAGCGAGCTGATGGTGATCTGAACCCATTTCAACAACAAGTATTGACAGTCATGGATTTGCATGCATTCAATATGTGTCGCACACTGTTGTTGACTGTTGAGTGTGTATTCAGGTCAAGTTACCACCAACCACCAACCAGATCCAGTGCATACATGATCATTCCTAGAATGACTGCCAAGAATATTCGTGTCTGAAAGTTGATTGTGAGTTGGTGGTTTGCAAGAACCGGACACAACCAACATGCTATTGGATACAGCAACCTGATTATAGTTCAGTCGCATGGTGTGATACAGTGGTTCATGCAATACAACATCCAGATATTTGTAGTGTTGAACATGACGAACCTGTTGTTCGTGTAGCATCATATCAATTGGTAATTCGGAATCAAAGTGTTGTGACCACGGAAACTGAGTATGTTGCATTTGACTACACCAAAACTTGTTTGACATTGTTCCATTCATTGCGCAAGTACACCAGATCCAATTGGAGTGATTGATCAGAGTCGGCAAATATCACGATATTGTCGGCATACATGAACCCTCACATTGATGGTGATTTACACGATACTCATGCAATGACAATCGGTTGATATCATCGTGTATGTTGTTGATGAACATGTTGAACAACAATCTGACAGTGGACATCACCACCGGACTCCATGTTCAATTGGAAATGGATCAGAAACCAATGATTCAGTCTGAGCACAAGCTGATGAGCATGTTTACAGCGCTATTAGCAAGACCAGTGTGCGTGGTATCAATCACATGTGTTGCAGTTATCATATCAAGGCACCAACCGTGACAGTGTTGAATGCATTTTGAATGTCAATCAACACAACAATAATATTGAGCTGCACGCACTGCTGTCATTGAACAATATCGACTAGTGAACCAACCTGCACAACACACTTGTTTGGTTTAAAATCGACCATGCTTAGTGGTGACGAGTTTGTTGAGCACCACGACCCATCAATGTGTGTTTGCAAGACCTTGCATACCAGTTTATGACACACATCAATCAGTGTAATACCGTGTTTGTCGTTTGTATCAATGTGATCACCGTTATTGTTGTCAATATATGCAGTCAGTACAATCGGTACAGTGTATGCAGACTGCCATCAGGTTGCATAGTGGCCGTCAACATATTGACTGAACTGTGTGTAGCAGGACACGAGCAAATGGATTGGGTGGTTCATCAGGTGTAGTATCATTCGATGCATATAATGCGACTTAGTAGATTATGGCCAATATCCTGTTGTTTTCCGAGTGTCTGATGTGGATCAGCTGCTGTATTGCATCAGCTAGTCGATTTCAAGATATATCCGAGTCGAGATTAGTTGCATCGCCACGAATCGGAAACAGTTTGTATGGTGAAAGTGAATCACGTATATGCAAGTACTGCCATTACTGCAAGTCAAGTAAATGTCCACTATCGTCCATAGCAAGACGCAAGTGGTGATTATTCGGTATGCCAAAAATATTATCACTGCTGTACTGAATGATACGATTGGCATCGCATCGTATAGTGGAATGAAATGATGGATGTTGTGTGTGTTGCACCACCAGACATGACTCGAGCTGCTGCAAATGTCATATCAAAACGATCATCAATACTGTCCGGCCAAATGTGTCAGCAAACTTGATCCAGTTCATATGTTCATTGGCGCATTCAAGTCGCTGGATTGTTGCATTGTGTTTGTCCCAGCATGCACCTAGTTGGCTGCGACAGAGTTCATTGTGATTGTCGCGGATACTTGCTGTAATGTACATCGATACTCCAGTGTTACCATGTCAAGTTGTCCGTTTGATTGAGCGATACAGTCGACGTTTATGTAGCCGAGCAGTATGTGCATGTGCGTGCAGTTGACAGTCATTCACTGTTGCATTGGCAGCATCCAATAACTGAATGCATAGCTCGTGTGTGTCCGTGTATGATCCATCAAACGCTGCATATATTCCACCAATCGTGAACATTGCAATCCGATCATAGGCATATATGCAGAGTTGTGATATGTTAGTTGGATGAGTGGAATGGACTGAATGAGTTGGTGCATGTGTATTAGTGCGGATGCAAGTGTAAATGACACATCATCAACAACCGCAATATTCATGTCTACACGAGCAGATTCTACAAGTGTTTGTTTAGTCTCGTCACACACAAAGTGATTGATAGAGTGTCAATGACATGCAGTCCTGCTCACTCGAGTGATGTTACTGTCTGCATATTGCCAACATACTGCATGACAGTCAAACGCAGTATTCATGCGTGTATGATGCGTTGTAATGGCGCATATTCAGTGTCCCAGTTTGCAAACAGTAGCACGGATGAGTGATCGTCAAACGGAATAACTGCTGACAGGACATGTTGAATGGCAGACAAGACATTTTGCGTTTGATAGTCGCATGCAGCCGAGTGTCCAATGTACACAGCCAACAGTCCAAACACAGTCAGGTGTAAAGTTTGGAATGTTTGCGACAATTATGGTGCCATAAACAGTCATTTTGCAAATCCAAACCATTTGTCAATACCGAATGGTGTCTCGATGTTCGGGAACAGTTGCCGAGTGTTGCAATACATTGAAACCACACACTGTGTGCTTGAAACTGTCCGTTGCAATGCAAGTCTCGGATAATCCACATAGTCGGTTTGGCTGAATATATGTCAAAGTAGTGAGTGTTTGCTGGCAATGTTTGACACATTGGCTGACAATATTTGACAACAATTAGGAAGTGGTGGAACATACAGTGAGGATGTCGTTGGATGCCTGCGTTGACAGTCTTTGTGTATGTGTCAGTTGTTGTACGGATGATTGGTGACAGAGTTGATGGATAGTGTGTGCGGAACATGACTCTGGCACAGTAATGCGGACTCGTGCACCGAGTTGAGTTGTCCAGCAATCGATTTTGGAAATGTGTTTGATGTGATGGTTTGAGATGGATGCCAAATGACCACGAATGTTACCAATTGTCATGACAGTTGATTGTTGATTCAAAACGTTGTTTGTTTGGTATTAATGGTTAGAGTGTCACTCATTGATCTGTCAGATCAGCAAGTGTTATTTCGGTGAGTTTCGTGTTTATTGTAGTCACATCAACATCAGCAGGTTGCACTACGGATTTGCTTGACAGAGTTGCAGATCCAGTTGGATTGATAGGTGAGCAACTGTGCAAACAACTGTGCGAGTTGCAGGATGTTTGAGATCCAACAAAACACTGCTTGCACACAAGTTCATGAATGCAGATTGTCAGACTTGACCATCAACTCGCAGTATAAATTGCATGTACGACAGTTTACACGCTTGTCCATCAACAATAAACCCATATAACCAGTAAACCGTTGACGAGCAGTCAGCTCAGTGGTCGGATTGATGTTTTTGTTGGAGTTTCTGGATCAAATTTGACCTGATTTGTACCAAGTTGGGTCATGACTACAAGTTTGACAGCAATAGATTGATCCACTAATAATCTGATCGTGTTGTTGATTGTATGGATGTTGTTAACCCGTTGCAGATTGATACGGAATGTGACCAAAATACCACAAAGTTTATTGAGTGTGCACATTGCATTTGATGCAAAACGCAATAAACAAATGCGAGTTGCAGCATTCATTCAAGGTTTGACACCAGTCGATACAGCATTGACCGCAATGGCATTTATGTCAACAATTGCACGATTACGGAATAAGTTGATTGTTGCTTGTCATTCCGTATCGACAGTCTGCGTGTGTGTGCAACGTGCTGTTGTCGCATATGAACAACTTGGATTGACTTTGTGGACAAAACACAGTCACTGTAGCGGTGGTGTTCACAGTCGTGTATGGTTGGGTAAAATTCACTCCGAGAGGAGTTACGAGATTGGTTGGACTCATTCAGTAAATAGTGTCGAGTCACGTAAACTGATGCATAGCAGAATTCCTTTGATAATTCACACCAGATTTGATTGATAACAGTCAAACTCAGTATCCAGATTGTAACGGATGAATCCAGTTTCAGACTTTTCAATTCTATAATGTATGACCGTATCAAAAAAGGAAACGACTTGAATCCAAAACTATAGTTTGATTTTGTACTATATGATGAGTGTTGTTATTAGTCGATTTTTAGTAGAAAAGTGCAACAAATATCCAACCATTGTTTATTTCAAAGTAAAGACGGCAAGTAAAGTATTCCATTTTACATGCATACGACTGTAAATCAACAACATCAGAAAATAAACTCTGGCTTCCAAACAAAATATCAACAGTCAACGGCTTGGATAGCAGTAGTAAAAAATAGCGAGTTTAAATTGATCCATAACTTATTCAGCATAGTTTTTGGGATCTTCGTCGTCATTGTCACCACCTTCATCATCTGCCTCTTCCTCGTCTTCTGTTGCATCCTGCATAGCAATTTCTGCATTCAATTTTGCTTTTCTAGGAGGCGGTGGTCCGTCTAAATCCATGGCATCATTCGGTGTTGGTCTAGTAAAAGTCTGACGAGATGTAAAAGCAGGCGCAGACGACGACTCGGCAGTAGATTCATTTACACCACCAGGTGCAGAAGATGCATCTTCATCCTTGGCAGCTGAGAAATTCAATCCAAGACCGGGCTGGCGGTATCCAGTAGAATTTGCCTTTGGCCCTTCTTTATCATGAAATAGTAAAGATCGTTCTCTATATAATCGCTCATTCCGTCTGCCATCTCCCTCATCCTCCGAATCGGATCGCTCATTGTCAGGCACAAATCGCTTATCCGACATTTTTTGGGTAATGCGGTGGTCTTTTGCATCGTTTTCATCCTCCTCATCTTCAGATGAATATGTGTCGTGAGGAACTTGATGTATTTGTACACTGGGTGCAAAATTCAAGTGACGAAGATTTTCAAGAATTTTGGTTTTCATGCGATTGAGATATTCACGAGAGTTCATGTTCTCCATATTGGTGCTGGGCACTTCAAGACGAAAGCTGGGTCCAAAATATTGAAAGTAGTCGTTGTAAGGAAGTTCTTCTGAAAGCTCTTCATCAACACAACGGGCTGTTTCGTAGGTCCAAGTGCGACATACATTACGAATTGTGTATCCTCCTCCACCAAGAATCATGAGTGGTACATTGAATTTTTTCATAAAATCAACTGCATACGCATGTCCTAATAGTTCAAAACATTAAATGATTAAAACATAATAGTCGTATTAACAAATAATAAAGGGTAGTTGAGCTATAGTTTGTATAAGCTACTCATACCATGCATGGATAGGTTAAAGCATCCGAGACGATCGCCAGCCAATGAATCTGCACCACATTGAAGAATAACTGCCCCCGGACGATATCGCTCCATTACAGAGGTGAGGACCTAAAACACATTGATCAACGCACATCAGTCTACAAAAAGCATAGGATGCAGCGTGGCACAAATACCCCTGAATGGCATGCTAAACCTACAGTAGAAAAAATATCCTTGTATGACTCGTCATCAATACCGTCCTTGAGAGGAAAATTAATTGCAAAATGTTTTCCTCGACCATGGCCTACATCGTTAATATCACCAGTACCTGGGAAATATTCACCATACTTGTGAAAAGACACGGTCATGACACGGTCAGTTGTGTAAAAAGCCTCTTCAACACCATCGCCGTGGTGATTGTCAATATCAATATACAGGACACGCTGATGATATCGCAATAGTTCCAAAATGCCCAAAACAATATCATTAACATAACAAAACCCAGACGCTTCGCCCTTTTTAGCATGATGCAGACCACCACTCCAGTTGATAGCAATATCAGATTCGCCACGGTTGAGCTTGGATGCAGCGGCTTTGCGTAAAATGAATGATTAGCTCAATACCAAGTAATCATAGAATTAAAAGTAAGCATCTACAGACTGACTACTTACATAACGATCCACCCGCAGACAAAGCACAGAATTCATACAGACCGTCCCATACTGGACAATCTTCTCCCAGATTGACTAGTATATTCAAAACAAGTGATTGTTTTTAAAACACATGGTATGAGCAAAAATAATATAAAACCTCGAATAAATTGAAATATATCAAGACATAGTATTACATTTTTGCTGATATTTGTTGATTTCATCTGTGTTGTCTGGCTGAACTCTATGCAAGAACTCGATATAGTCATCTGAGTGAAACTTGGTCATTTCTTTCAAAGTAGCAGGCGTAGGTCTCTATCCGTTACACATTAAAAACAACAAGTGATCAGAATTGATATTAGAATAAGCATGTGATGCCATAAAATGGTCGATTCACCCACATTGATTTCAAGTTTCTTATATAGACCATAATTAACCACAAGATTATGGGTCATGCGAATGCGATGTGGCTAAAACAAAAACCCAATGTAAGCTCAAGTTAGTTTTAGTAATATATAGATAAGCAAAAAGTCACATTTTTAGATGATTTATGGTTGAAACATAGCAATATTGTTCCTGAAAGTATGAGTAGATCATATATGAAGCATACACCAAGAGTTTGATAGTATAAGAAGATCTACTAAAATAGTCGATTTTGCCAAGTATCCAAAACAAACCTTCATTGGATGCTGAGGGCCGTAGTGGTAAAGACCAACATCATCTATAATACACAAGAGTAATGCAGTTGGTAAAAGTGTCAGTGTTAATGACTACTTGTAGCATATATTTGCAGTGATGGCTCGAACATTAAATATGCATTTATCTAGCACCAAATCGGAATATTTGCCAAGTTTTCTTGGCATAGAGCGAAACGATGCATCAGACAAATTGTAGATAACATGAATCCATCAGAGATTTCAGAAACAATGAAAAACGATGCAATACCATGATAGTAATAAGAGACTTTTGATTTGCGATTTCGGACAGTAGTTGTAGTTATGGGAGCAGCCATTGTATGGTTTGGATTTAGATCCGCACGTTATCGGTAAAACAATGGAGCTGAAAACTTTAAAGTGTATAACAAGCTTAAATAATCCAACAGCCTTAGAGTAAATCACTGTACACAGTAGACTAAAATGCCAACAGTGACGATGAAGAATAGATAGATTCGCAACTGGTCGAATTAAAAGGATTAAACGGAAAGTACAAAAAACGGGCAAAACTGAAACAACAAGAAATTGACCAAAAATACAAATATTTGGGTAAAAATTAATTCCCCAAAAATCAACTTGATTTCAAATCTGTAGATCTGCAACTTCCGCCAATCAATTCATTGAACAATGACTGCTTCTCTTAACAGTTGCGTATTTGCTTGGATTGTGTATTGAATACGCCGAATCTACTCAATAACTGCTTATTCAGAATTCTTTGGCACTACTGAATTTATATTTGACTCTACTTGCAGCCCTGGCTGCAATACTCTTGCTGTCTGTTGATTTGTTGGATTGATATTTATCTATTTTGAGTTTAAAATATTCAACTTTATTGTCCATCGAGTGAATTGATTCTTGGAATGCTATCGAGATACTGAGCACGAATCTAAACTTATTTATTGTCATTCATGTTCAATGAATTGTGCACATTGTCTACTTTAGTATCTGTCAAATGGAACGGTAAAAAGTATCCTATCGAGGTTGATTTGTTGCAGTCTGGCATCGTTTTCAAAATGCAACTTTTTTCGCTGACTGGAGTAGCTCCTGAGCGACAAAAGATCATGGTCAAAGGTGGTATGCTCAAGGTAATTCTCATCTTGTTTGCATCAGGATCAACGACTACAAGTAACATATCTTTTTATTAATCTTGACAGGACGATGTGATTTTAAATACTCTTGGACTCAAAGAGGTGTGTACTTTCACGTTGACTTCAGCCTATTTCATCACCATCTTTTAATACGTCTAGTTGAATCATAACCTAACCCATATGTATGCTTGATTTTTACCCATTACTATTTAGGGCCAACAATTGATGGTACTTGCTAGTTTTATCAAATATGTTACTGCATTCAACTTTTGGATTGTAATGTCAATATTATATACTATTGTAGATGATGGGCACCGCTGGTGAACTCCCAAAAGCTCCAGAAAAAACAACTGTGTTTGTAGAAGACATGTCTGACACTCAACTTGCGCAAGCAGTAAGCGGATGTTTATTAATATATGAAATTCATTGCTTGATCCATCAAGATCTGATTTTAACTGATACATTGTATGTCTTGAATGAATAGCTTAAAGTTCCTGCTGGTCTCATCAATCTTGGAAATACATGCTACATGAATGCCACTATTCAATGTCTAAGAGCTGTCCCAGAACTCCTCGAGGCAATGGAACAGTACGTTTTTACTGTCCATATAGTCAAACACTACTCGTTTTTATTTTATGCTAAAGCTTGGTTTACTCTACTTGAACCCTTTTATTAGCATTGAACGACCAGCTAATCAGGATGCTTACTGCGATCTTTCTGTTTCTATGCGATCTTTATTGAAAGAACTAAATGACTCGGGTGAATCTATTTTACCCATGGTATTTCTTCAGGTAAATTGAATCTGATGTCATGGCGCCTGTTTGAGTGTTTAATGGCTCAACTCACTTGAACGTCCATTTTTAACCCGTCTCTATATTATAAAAATATTCATTGGGTAGGTCTTGCGTTCTGTATTTCCTCAATTCGGCGAGTCTAACAATCAGGGATTTTTGCAACAAGATGCTGAAGAATGTTGGGGTCAAATCATTCAAGCCTTGAATGAAAAAATTCCTGGCATTTCTGTTACAGGTCAAGTTGAAAAGGGAAAACGATTTGTCGAGCAATATATGACCACTGAAACGATTTCTACGTGAGTGCAATTGTATTTGCTTAAAGAATTGACGTTTTAAAGGCTGTGCTTGCATACATGAATCTCTGACAAATCATTTTTTCCTGATGTGCTAATGGCTGGCATGCTATTTTAGTACTCATTGCACTGAATCTGAATCTGAGCCCAAAACCACCGCTGTTGAATCATTCAACAAGTTGCGTGTCAATATTAGTGCTGGAGGTATATATTTCATTTACTACACAACATATGCATGACAGTTTAATGGTGTTTACAAATAATTTTGTGGATTTAGTTTCTACCTATTTGGTATCGGAAATTGCAAATAGCTTGATTGAAAAAATTGAAAAAAATTCACCAAGTTTGAACCGCAGTGCCAAATACAGTAAATCATCCAAAATCACACGATTGCCACAGTACTTGACTGTTAATTTTGTACGTTTTCAGTGGAAGCCCCAAGAAAATGTCAAGGCAAAGATTCTCAAGGTATTTATTACTGATTCGTTTTTATAATTACAATTCATTTTTTACAACTTTGCATTATCAAATTTCAGAGAGTCCAATTTCCTATGGAGCTAGATATGGTGCCTTTTTGCACTCCTGAACTTCAGGAAAAACTTGCACCAGCCAAACAGCGTTTAAAAGAAATGTCTGACAAAAAAGCGGATGAAGCGGTACGTCATACTTTAAGTTTAAAGTGCCATCATGGGCTATACGATTGTTTAAAATTTACGCTTTACTTTGATTACACTTAAACTTTTATTGGCAAGCTGTAACATTTGTAATTTTTATTGCGTTTAGAAATTAAAGAAGCTTGCTGCATCGCAACCTGGTGCTTCTACCAGTGCTGATGTGGAAATGGTCGACTCTTCAAAATCTACAGATTACAAAAAGTCTCACTTTGAAGCTCTTAAAAAGCTCAATGTGGATGACAGCCTTGTTAATGATCCTGGAGCCAATCCTTCGGGTCAATATGATTTGGTTGCAGGTATATCTATGCACAGCCAGACTAACTTTAATGAGCCGTTTTGATTAACTTGAGCATTTTATTTTGGCAATGATTTGATAGTGCTAACTCATGTTGGTCGTGCTGCTGACTCTGGACATTACATTGGCTGGGTCAAAAGCCAAACAACTGATAACTGGTGTAAGTTGCATCAATGCGCTGCCTGATTAAGCTGGCATTTTAATTTAATTTGCAATTCTACAACCTTTTAGGGAAATTTGATGATGATCGCGTCTCGCAAGTCCAGCCAGAGGACATTGTCAAACTTGAGGGTGGTGGTGACTGGCATACAGCCTATATTTGTCTTTATCGATCCAAAATTCTTGAATAAGTGCCGTGTAGATTTTGATACATTATACAGTTGATGCTGAATTAATATCAATTGTGATGAATCCTGGTTTACATTTTTGAAATTACTATTTTAATGAATGAAGGTATGCGCATAACATTCCCTTGTTTATCTTGTCACATTTTGGTCGGTTTCAAACCTGTGAAATGTTATACTTTGAACACTCTTACCAAAAGTGCGTTTGAATTCAGTCTTGCTGCCAAACAAGGGCTAAATACGGATTACTGTACTATTTTTACTGAAATAACTTGGATATATATTGATAATAAGAGTATAAATACAAATCAACCCACCAAGCATATACTTGTATGAATCTGATTGTGCAGTGCATTATGCTGGCTTTAATAAGCATAAATTAATATCAAAATACTCGTTTATTGTTTCAGTCAGCTTGAAATGAGTTGGTCAACTTGATATTCTAACAAGACATGAAAATAACTAATGAATATTTTTAGTTGATAAACCAATTTCAAAGTGCAACCTATTTGGAATATCAAGTTATAAGCGAGCGGAGTTTGACGCGTCGGATTATTACAGTTCAAGGCTTACATCTTGTTTTCCAAAGCGAGTACTCAGTCTATACAACTAACAAACTATTTATTGGTTCCGCTTGTTTAAACAGCATCTAATTTTGCACTTTTACTCTTTCTATATAGTTCAAGACATTGTCCAAATACCCACTATACAGCTACGCTTTTCCAAGAAAATAGATTTGGCCAATGGACAATAGAAGGGTGCATGTCCCTCTTGTGGTAGATCCAACAGCTGCGTCAGACAGGTCAAAAATACTTGTTCCTTCATTTTCATCTGTGCAAGATAGACCAACTATTGCACCGGCTGCAGCTCCACTTGGCAGATGTGCAGTTTTTAGTGAATATATTTTAAGCCCTCTTGACTACCCCGAACCAACATTTTTTGGTACTCCAAAGCCACTCCCTCCAATTGGTAAACCTAGCTATGTTGCCTCGTCTGCAACTGTACCTTCAACACGCTCGTTCCGCCGACCAATAAGCAAACAAGATTCGTTTGCTGCTCAAATGGTTCAAACCCCACCTACTTCTAGTATTCAGTCCACCAAATCAACAGCCATCCCACATACTCAAATTAATTATCGTAAAGCACTAGAACCAAAGGTTATGCTACCATTTGTGTCTCGTCCTGGTCAGACTCCTCGGAAAATTGAAATTGAGCGACGTAAAAGAATGTATTCTTCACATCGCCTTGATTTGCTTATTATCGATGGGTTGGATCGACTTAAAGCGTCTGGAGCAATTGGTGCTAATCCATTGACCGATTTTACTGACAAGACTGATAAAAAAATACCTTTGAATCTTCAAAACACTGCTTTACCACAATCTGATCAACACATGAATAGCATTGAAGACTTGGAAAAACAAAATGACGATGATACACCTGTAAAGAATTCAAACGCAAACCATGAAGCCAGTCATCTTTCTACTGACTTTGGATTAGCAACACCACAGAAAAAAAGCTTAACTACTACAGATTTTGCAAACCTACTTCCTCTAAGTATTTTCGATAATACCGAGTTTGAAACGCGTACTGTCAATGATTGGCTTGATATGTCGGTTGTTCCTGACGACCCCACACCTGAAGCATTGAAAAAATTGGCGTCGCTTCCATTGTCTTGTGGATTGACTTGCCCTAATGCTCCTGATATTCGATACGCAGTTATTCCTATTCCAGCACGCGGCTTCAATGGCTGCGAGTGGATGGATTGCATTGCCGTCGCATATGATCAACTCTGTAATAAATGGAAAATAAAGTGGCGCTCATTTGATGGCTGGACTCTTGATTGCAAAACCGATGATGACTTTAATGCCTCGTTAAATCCAGACGACGAAGCTTTGCGTGAGGATTTTAGTCAAGAAATGGGTAACCCTCGGATGACGACCGATAAAGAAGCTTGGATTGATAGGTATACCTACAGTGCTTGATCAACTTGGTGTACATGCATATCACAAAACTTGATGAAATGCACTCAACCGTATTTGTATTGTGTAGAATCAATCTTATGTTTCTTGCTGAAAATCCTGAACAGTTTGCACAACGAGTCATTTTTGCATACTATGAGCGATATCAAGCTGCATTAAAACTTGTAAGTTGTGACTACTTTTTCTGATTGCACGAGATCTTTTGTGTTTTAGGGTACTCATTAAATCAGTTTTATACCCATCCGAATGGTGTCATGGTTTGCTTTGTAAATATCAGCGATTGAGTTTATATATAGATTGCATGCCGATTGGAGAAGATATTTCTCAAATTTCGTCTGAGCAGATTAAGAGAATTATGGAAAAGGCTGGGATCGAAACCAAGACATTTAAGAAATTACGCGGAACTCCTGCAGTCGATGAACTTGTTGCTGAATATTCGTTAGACTATGCTCGTACAATGAACAGTTTAGTATTTCAAAAAGAGGTATGCCAACTATTTTCATGCATATATTACCTGGAAGAGCATCAAGATTGGATCCTAATCAATATGAATTACATTCAAAAACAGGTATCAACACCAATGGGTCGTTTCAATTATCCATCAATAGAGTTGCCAATTCTTGAACCAGAGCACGCAATTCAAGAGTAGGTTGGCTATAGCTTGTTAAAATGTAGTCATAGAAATACTAATTTTAATTCTATTAGATTTGGAAAGATACCGTTGCCCATGTTTGATTTTGTTGCAAGCAAAAAGTCATTTGAATTTGCATCGTTCCTCACCAAAGTTGAAGTAATTCGCACATTGGCTAAAGTCAGGATTGAATGTGAAAAGTTGGCCAATACCAATCTGTTTGCTACCAATATCACCAAAATTGTCAAAATTGACGAGTTTGAGCAGCTTCAATCACAAGCTCTTCAAAATGTTCGAGGAACACTCAAAGATGGGTAAGCGTTTGACTTTATAAATCTGTTTCAAGTAGTGTTGCTTTATAGTTTGATCAAATATAGCAGTATTGACTGTTATTGATTGATTGGTAATTATAGGTGGATAAATGTTCTTAAAAATATCATCAAGACTGGATTTAAAGATGTGGGCAAGGGATGGTACAATATGCAAGAATCGAACATGGAAGTATACAAAATCAGCAAACTATTCAAGGTTATGACTGCAATCAATTTTATAATGCAAGACTCGCTAAGATTTCTGGTACTCAACTCTTTGCAAGAGTATACCAAACTCATCAAAAGTATTACTTTGCAAACTGTAACGATTAATTCTATAAGCGATGTTCGAGTCATTGATTCAAACGGAAAGGAGCCTCGCAAGCCATTATTTATGCTTGACCTGCTATTTAAAGCTGGTCGTTTGCAGTATAACACAGATTTTCGTGCTTTTGAATCGTCGCTTATGGCTATTTTTGAAAAAGCAATCAATACACCCGAAAACCTTCCACAACTTGAACCACTTGTGTTGGATCAAATGTTTTGGGCATCCAAGCCCACTCTTCAAACGGTTCACCACAAAGAACCTGCTATAAACAAACTACGCGCTTGCTTGCTACAGGCCATTCGAAAGGGACTTGCACCACTGGATACTTATATTTCCCAGTATGAAAAACATACAAAATTACTTAATCTTGATATAGCACAATTTGCAATTCAGTACGAAAGCGAGAATCGCACAGTTGCAGAAATGGAACAAGACATTGCCAAATACACTTCAGAGTGGGAAGCATTGGATAAAGATATTCCCAATCACATTATTATTGGATTATTTTGGATCAATTGTGAAAGTCTTCGTTCTGCTATGCGTAAAGATCTTAGTAAAGTCATTTTGGAGCTTCTCAGTAAGCGAACAGCAAAGCTTGCAGTATCTATTTCTCAAACGTTTGTACAGATCCAAACTCGACTCAAAGAACGCCCAACCAAAATTGAAGAGCTGATTGGACTGCGAGATTATATCAAAACTGTAGCCGAATCAAGTCGCCAGCAAAATCTTCGTATTCAAGAAATGCTGCACAACTATGAGGTTCTTGAAAAGCATCGATTTGAGTGTAGCAATGAAGATATGCGTGCTCGTTGGAATGCGTTTGGCTGGTCTCAACGAATTGATGAATTGATGGCTGCTACAGAACTAGCTCTTACAGCTGATGAAGCAACGTTTTCTCGAAACCTGTCTACCGATCAAGAAGTTTTCAAAGATCGCATCTACACTCTTACAACCATCATTGCTGAATTCAGTAAACACTCTGATCTGTCACGTATTACCGAGATTGTTGCTGATGTTAATAGAATATCTACCGAACTTAAAGAAGCTCAGTCTCTTGCAACTTTGTTTAATAGTCGCGAACGGCTGTTCAATCAAGAACCAACCAAGTATGATGAAGTGGCCCAGTTAATACGCGAGTTTGAGCCGTACAAGAATTTGTGGCTCACTTGTCACGACTGGACTCGCTGGAAAGATCAATGGATGCTGGGTGGGTTTCTTGAGCTCAATGCTGAAGAAGTAGAAAAAAATTTAATGAATGCTTGGCGCACTATTTTCAAAAGCTTCAAGCACTTTAAAAATAGTCCTGGCTGCCTTGCTGTAGCTGGTCAAATCAAGGAAGAGGTCGAAGAGTTCAAACCATATCTACCACTTATTCAAGCACTTCGAAATCCTGGGATGCGAGATCGCCATTGGGATCGATTGAGCGAAGAACTCAACATGAATCTGCATCCTGATGCGTCATTTACGCTTACTAATTTACTGAATATGAAACTTTTGGATCGTGTCGACCTCATCTCCAAAGTATGCGATGTTGCTGGAAAAGAGTACTCTATTGAAAATGCTCTTGAAAAAATGGATACCGAATGGAAATCAACCATGCTTGAGATTCTTCCCTACAAGGACACTGGCACTTTTATTATGAAAACATCAGAGGAAGTCACACGATTGCTAGATGACCATATTGTCATGACTCAAGGCATGAGTTTTTCCCCATACAAAAAGCCATTTTCGGAAAAAATCAGTTTTTGGGAAAACAAATTGCGCACAGTCCAAGAAGTTTTGGATGCATGGATGGCATGCCAACGCTCTTGGCTTTATCTAGAGCCCATTTTTGGTAGCGACGATATTGTTACCCAACTTCCAGTCGAGTCTAAGCGATTTACCACCATGGATCGCACTTGGCGCCGAATCATGAGCCAGGCAAAACAAAAACCAGGTGTCATTGACTGCTGCAGTGACTACAAATTACTGGACTCGTTTCGCGAATGCAACAAGCTGCTTGAATTAGTTTCCAAGGGACTTTCTGCATATCTAGAGGGAAAACGTATTTCGTTTCCAAGATTCTTCTTTCTCAGTGACGATGAACTGCTTCAAATTCTATCACAAACCAAAGATCCAACTGCAGTTCAGCCCCATCTTCGTAAATGCTTTGAAAATGTGGCCTCACTTGAATTTGCGCCAGATCGAAAAATCTTGGCCATGTATTCAGCCGAGGGTGAGAAAATTGATTTTGAAGAGCCATTTTATCCAAAAGGACCAGTTGAAGAATGGTTGCTTCGTGTGGAAGATCAAATGCGTCAAAGTGTAAAAAAGGTGATTCGAGATGCTATTGGAACATATTCAACACAGACGCGGGCTTCTTGGGTTCTCAACTGGCCAGGACAAGCTGTTTTGGCAGGATCACAAACCTTTTGGACTACAGAAGTCACAGAAGCCCTCAAGTCTGGAGTTTCTGGACTCAAGGCGCTTTATGCCAAGCTTTTATCACAGCTTCAGGGTTTGGTTACATTGGTACGGGGAGAGCTTCCCTTTCTCAATCGTCTTGTTCTTGGAGATCTTATTGTGATTGACGTTCACAGTCGCGACGTTGTTAAAAAACTAGTGGACTCGAACATATCCAATGCCAATGATTTTGAGTGGATTAGTCAGTTGCGATACTATTGGGAGCAAGACGAATTAAGAATCAAGATTGTGAATGCAAATTTCAAGTATGGTTATGAGTACCTTGGCAACACTGGCAGACTGGTTATTACCCCATTGACTGACCGCTGCTACCTGACTCTCACTGGAGCAATGCATCTTGGAATGGGAGGTGCTCCCGCTGGTCCTGCTGGTGAGTATAAATTGTCATGCATTGATCAAATTCACAGTCTGGCGTAGATTTTCGCAGATTGAAAATATATAAACACGAACAAAAGCTAATATTATTATACTTAGGTACCGGAAAAACTGAAACTGTCAAAGATCTGGCCAAGGCACTTGCAAAACAGTGTGTTGTGTTTAATTGTTCCGATCAACTGGACTATCTTGCAATGGCCAAGTTTTTCAAGGGATTGGCAGCCAGTGGAGCATGGGCTTGTTTTGATGAATTCAATCGTATTGATATTGAAGTATTATCAGTTATTGCTCAGCAAATCACTACAATCCAAAAGGCGTGTGTTGCTGGTCAGACTCGGTTTATGTTTGAAGGCGTTGATTTGCCTCTGAATGCAAGCAATGCCATTTTTATCACAATGAATCCAGGCTATGCCGGTCGTACTGAGTTGCCAGACAATTTGAAAGCTCTGTTCCGCCCAGTAGCCATGATGATTCCCAACTATGCCATGATTGGTGAGATTTCCTTATTTTCGTTTGGATTCTCCAATGCCAAAGTACTTGCTGAAAAAATGGTAGTGACATTCAAGCTCAGTTCTGAACAATTGTCATCACAAGACCATTACGACTTTGGTATGCGCGCTGTTAAAACAGTTATTTCGTCGGCTGGAAATCTCAAGCGCGAACAACCAACTGCCGGCGAGGATCTCATTCTGTTGCGCGCTTTATGTGATTGCAATCTTCCTAAATTTCTAGCAGACGATGTTCCATTATTTAATGGCATCATTAGCGATCTTTTCCCTGGCATTGAACAATCAAGAATCGACTATGACAAGCTTCTCGGTTCACTTTATCGTTCTTGTGAAAAATTGGGTCTTCAACCCCAAGAAGTGTTTATTCGCAAGTGTATTCAGCTATATGAGACCACTGTTGTGCGACACGGACTTATGCTTGTAGGACCAACAGGCGGCGGTAAAACCTCGTGTCTTCGCGTTTTGTCTCGCAGTCTGTCTGCTCTTGAAGGAGATATTGCTCCAAATGGAACTACGTTTCAAAAGGTAGGATTGTTTTTGTCTAAAAAATCAACCTGTGAATCAAGCCGTGGTGTGGTTGACTATGTTATAGTTTTTGATACACCAAGCAAAATCTGCTGACACTACAACTTTTTGATTTACATTTTTAGGTCAAAGTAAATACCCTCAATCCTAAATCAATCACAATGGGACAGTTATATGGAGAATTTGACCAACAAACACACGAATGGAGCGATGGAATCCTATCTTGTTTAATGAGAGAAGGTGTTGAGGACACATCATTGGATAAAAAGTGGTATGTGTTTGACGGTCCAGTCGATGCAGTTTGGGTTGAATCCATGAACACACTACTCGACGATAACAAGAAGCTATGCTTATCAAGCGGAGAGATTATTAAAATGTCGCCTTCACAAACCATGATGTTTGAAGTTCAAGACCTTGCATTTGCATCCCCTGCCACAGTTTCTCGTTGTGGAATGATATATATGGAACCCGATGCGCTTGGTATCTTGCCACTATGTGTGAGTTGGTTCAAGCTACAACATACTACTTTGGGTGAAAATTTAGCTTCCGTGCTTCGCGAACAGCTCGAGCCTATTTTGGAACATTATCTAAATGCCAGCCTTGATTTTGTTCGAAAATCAGTTAAAGAAGCTGTACCAACTACAAATGGAGGATTGGTGGCCAGTCTTTTGCGCATTCTAGACTCTCTGTTTAAACCACTTGCCAACCCAGTTGGCGACAAGCAACCAATCCAGTCCCTAGAGTTCAAAAAAGTTATTGGGCCATTATTTATTTTTGCATTGGTTTGGTCTGTTGGTGCGACTGGCGATACAGAAGGTCGAAAAAAGTTTGATTCATGGTTGCGTGGACAGCTGGTATCTCACTCATGCTCAACCGTTATTCCAGACAGTGGTTTGGTGTATGATTTTACGTTTAATATTGAAAAACTAGAGTGGATAAACTGGATGCATCTTCTTGAATCGGATAACGAAGATCAAGCTTTTAAATCGGGTAAATCTGACATGATTGTCCAGACAATGGATACTGTGCGAAACAGTTTTCTTATCGATATTCTTGTAAAAAACGACTACCACGTGCTATGTACCGGACCTACTGGTACTGGAAAAAGCATCACAATTCAGCAGAAGCTCATGAAAGGACTTGATGTCAATTGGACTCCGTTGATCATCAACTTTTCTGCAAGAACAAGTGCAAACCAGACACAGGATCTTATTGATAGTAAACTAGAGAAGCGTCGCAAGGGTGTGTTTGGTCCGCCTGTAGGAAAAAAGTTTATTATTTTCATCGACGATCTCAATATGCCTCAGCTTGACATTTGCAATGCCCAGCCACCAATTGAACTGCTTCGTCAATGGATGGATTGTCAGGGATGGTATGATCGTAAAAATATTGGCAAATTTATGGAAATTGTCGACATTTCCTTTATTTGTGCCATGGGTCCTCCTGGAGGTGGTCGCAACCCAACCACAAGCCGGTTTTTAAGACATTTCAACTTGATTGGTTTCGTTGAAATGGAAAATACTTCTTTAAAACGTATTTTTACCACGATTCTTGGTGGATTTCTTAGCAAATTTCCTCCAGAAATTACAAAGAGCACCGATTCGCTTGTGGATGCGTCTATCGCCATTTACAACACCATTAGATCTGAGCTATTGCCCACTCCAACCAAATCACATTATACGTTTAATTTACGTGATTTGGCAAAGGTGATACAAGGCGTTCTCAGTGCTGATCTCAAGACTGTCAATGTCGAAACAGATATTGTTCGACTGTGGATTCATGAATGCCAACGTGTATTCCAAGATAGACTTGTAGATAACGTCGACAAAAATTGGTTCAAAACTCTCATGATGAATACAATGAACGATAAACTGGATTTGTCGTGGAGCGAGGTCGTTATTAGTGAGCCACTCCTTTATGGCGATTATATGACTCCTGGAGCAGATCCAAAGATTTACACTGAAGTCAAGGCATGTCAACACCAATGCTATACATTCTACAACTATTGCTACTTTGACTTTTGCATTTAGCTATTTTCAACTCTAACACTGGTTGTACTATTTATTTTAGGATTTACGTCGACTGGTAAAGCTGGCAGAAGAGTACCTTGATGACTACAATGGATCATCTACCAGTCCAATGAAACTAGTCATGTTTTTGGATGCAATTGAGCACGTAAGTCGTATTTGCCGTATAATTCGCCAGCCAGGAGGACATGCACTTTTGCTTGGTGTAGGCGGAAGTGGTCGTCAAAGCTTGAGTAGATTAGCAACATTTATGGAAGAGTTTGAGCAATTTCAGATTGAAATTTCAAAAAATTATGGTCAAACGGAATGGCGAGATGATCTAAAAAAGGTAAAGAATATTGTAAACCAATCAAATGTGGCTATTTGACGTATTCTACTGTTTTTAACTAACCTATACTGGGACTATGCTCAATATTAACAGGTTTTATTTGCCGCTGGTCTGGAAGGAAAACCTACAGTATTTTTGTATACCGACACGCAAATTGTATCAGAGAGCAATCTTGAGGATATCAACAATATACTCAATGGTGGTGATGTACCCAATATTTACACGAGTGAAGAAATGGATCGTATTCTGAATGGAGTTCGCCCAATTGCTGCCGAGCAGGCAATTCCAAGCACCCGAGAAAACCTATTTGCTTTGTATATACAACGGATTCGCACCAATCTTCATTTGATTGTTTGTATGAGCCCAATTGGCGATCCATTTAGAAACCGACTTCGCATGTTTCCAAGTTTGGTTAATTGCTGCACAATTGATTGGTTTTCCACCTGGCCAGAAGATGCTCTGCGTAGTGTTGCTGCCAATTCTATATCTGAAATAAGTGATTTGGGATCAGAGCATGTTATTGATGGAATTGTAAACCTTTGTGTGTTTATGCACGAATCCGTTCGCGAAAGATGCATTACCTATCGGTCAGAGTTGAGCAGAAACAATTATGTCACTCCAAAATCGTATCTTGAGCTGCTTGGTTTATACAAACGATTGCTAGAAAAGAAACGCAATGAACTGATTTCTCTTCGCAAACGCACAGCTACAGGTTTGGAAAAACTGCTTAATGCTACAAAAGAAGTAGAGATTTTACAGGAAGAACTCGAAGCCATGCAACCCATGTTAATGCAGACCAGTCAAGAAACAGAGTATGCCATGAAAAAAATTGCTGTGGACAAAATCAAGGCCGAGGAAATCAAAGAGAATGTCATCAAGGAAGAGCTGGCATCCAGTAAAAAGGCTGAGGAAACCAAGGCTATTGCTGAAGATGCTAAGCGCGATTTGGATGAAGCACTTCCAGCCCTTGATGCTGCTGTTGAATCTCTCAACTCTCTTTCCAAAAACGACATTATTGAAGTTCGATCTATGCAAAGACCCCCCGAAGGCGTTAAACTTGTGATTGAAGCTATTTGCATCATGAAGGGTATCAAGCCTAAAAAAATTGATGGAGACAAGCCAGGAAAAAAGATTGACGATTACTGGGAACCAGGTCGTGCATTACTAGCTGACCCTCAACGCTTCTTGGATAGTCTAATGAATTTTGACAAGGAAAATATTGCAGAAGCCACGGTTCAAAAAATTAAGCCATACATTGACTCGCCTGAATTTCAGGTCAGCGTCATTTCACGTGTGTCTCGTGCAGCGACTTCCATGTGTCAATGGGTACGTGCAATGGAAAAATACTATTGGGTATCTCGCTCTGTTGCTCCTAAGCGTGCCCGTTTGCAAGAAGCGCAAGAATCATTGGACGCTACGCTCAAGGCTCTTGCCGAGCTCAAGAAAAAGATGAAGGAGGCTGAAATGAACATTAAAGAGATGGAGAAAAAGTATGCCGAGTCGGTTGCTAAAAAGGAAGAACTATCTCGTAAAGTAGAAGAATGCAATGTCAAATTGTCTCGAGCTGGAAAGTTGATTTCTGGCCTGAGTGGTGAAAAACAGCGATGGGCACTTGCAGTTGACCAGTTTGACATGAAGATTGGAAACATTATTGGCGATATTTTACTTGCGAGTGGAGCTATTGCCTATCTTGGTCCATTTACTGCAGAATATCGTAGCTTGCTGATGCGTGAGTGGATTGGCAGTGTGCTTCAGCTGAAGATCCCTCATTCTGAAAATACCTCACTTTGGGATGCGCTTGGTGACAACGTCAAACTTCGAGAATGGGAGTTGTTTGGTCTACCAAAAGACTCGCTTAGTAGAGACAATGCTATTATTGTACAAAACTCACGTCGCTGGCCTTTGCTGATCGACCCACAAGGACAGGCAAACAAATGGATCCGAAATATGGAGCGTGAACATAGTTTGGATATCGTCAAATTGACCGACCGCGACTTTTTGCGCACTCTTGAAAATGCCATTCGGTTTGGAAAATCGGTTCTTCTTGAAAACGTTGGAGAAAAGCTTGATCCAGCACTTGAGCCTATACTAATGCGTCAGACTTTTAAACAGGGAGGAAGCACAGTGATCAAGGTTGGCGATAGTATTCTTCCATATCACGACGATTTCAAGTTTTACATTACTACTAAGCTTCCAAATCCACACTACTCTCCAGAAACCAGTGCCACTGCAACACTTGTCAACTTTACTCTAGCTCCAAGCGGACTGGAAGATCAGTTGCTAGCAATTGTCGTGGCAAATGAACGACCCGATCTTGAGGAAGCTAAAAACCAACTCACTATTAATAATGCACAGGTAATATACAACCACTACAAAAGTTTGGTCAAATTATTTGGAATAGGTTTACTGAAAAAAGTTTTATTTACACTTTATGTTTTTTAGATGAAACGAGAGTTAAAGGAGATTGAAGACAAGATTCTATATCTTTTATCCTCGGTTCAAGGAAGCCCGGTTGATGATGAGCGTTTGATTGAAACTCTTGGTGCTTCAAAAGAAACGTCTGAAGAAATTCAGCAAAAAGTAGCAGCCGCTGAGCAGACTGAAAGGGAAATCGACACAACGCGAAACAAGTATGTGCCTGTAGCAGTCCGCACACGCATTTTATTCTTTTGCATCACTGAGCTGGCAAGCATTGATCCCATGTATCAATACTCTTTGAATTGGTTTATGAACCTATTTACTTCAGCCATCAGTCATTCAGAAAAATCAGATGATATTGAGCAGCGTGTTTTCAACATCAACGACTACTTTACATTTTCGCTTTTTACCAATGTGTGCAGATCCTTGTTTGAGAAACACAAGCTGCTTTTTTCGTTTTTGCTGACAATTCGGATTCTTATGAACGATAACAAAATTGATATGGATGAATGGCGATTTCTTCTTACTGGCAGTGCCGCTCACGATAAAACTCTGCAAAATCCAGCACCCGATTGGTTATCTGTGCAAAGTTGGAATGCAATTATGGGGCTATCAACACTTGCCTTTTTTACTGATTTTGATACTGGATTTACAGAATCGATTGATCATTACATGGCTATATTCGATAGTTCTACGCCTCATCGTGAGCCATTGCCAGGAATCTGGCAAGATAAACTTGATGGATTCCAAAAATTGCTGCTGCTGCGTTGCTTGCGCGCTGATTGTGTAACTTCTGGCATTCAAGATTTTGTTGCAGCGCAGTTAGGGGAGCGTTTTATTGAGCCACAGACATCTGATCTTTCAGCGCTGTTTAAGGAATCAACTCCACTTACACCTCTTATTTTTGTGCTTTCACCAGGAGCAGATCCTGCAAATTCGCTTTACAAGTTTGCTGAAGAAATGCGCATGTCTAAGAAATTGACCTCTGTGTCTTTAGGTCAAGGGCAGGGTCCGCGTGCAGAAGCATTGATGAAGGAGGGTATGGAGCGTGGACTATGGATTCTACTTCAAAATTGTCATTTGTCACCATCGTGGATGCCCAGTTTAGACCGCGTTATTGACAGCATTACAATGGACAAGGTGCACCGAGATTTCCGTCTTTGGTTGACATCAATGCCAACACCTAAATTTCCAGTTACAATCCTTCAAAATGGTGTAAAAACAACGCTTGAACCTCCAAACGGTATCAAAGCCAATCTTATGCGCAACTATAGCACCTTTAACGATGAAATGCTGAATCAATGCCAAAAACCAGTCGAGTGGAAAAAACTTTTGTTTTCACTGTGCTTTTTCCATGCTGTTATTCAGGAGCGTCGTAAATTTGGTGCGCTTGGATGGAACATTCCCTACGAGTTCACAGACGGAGATTTGCGTATTTGCATTCGGCAGCTTAAGATGTTCTTGGAGGAATATGAGGAGATTCCGTTCAAGGTACTGAAATACACTGTTGGTGAGATCAACTATGGTGGACGTGTGACTGATGATTGGGATCGGCGGTTGATTATGGGAATTTTGGAAGACTACTACACACCCAAAGTTCTTGAAGACACATATTTATTTTCCAGTAGCGTCGTATATAAGTCGATTCCAGCGGACTCGTACAATTCTTACAAGGCATACATTAAATCATTGCCAATTGACGAAACCACCGAGATTTTTGCAATGCACAACAATGCCAACATCACCTTTGCACAAAAAAAGACATATGATTTGTTTGAATCGCTACTCACGTTGATGCCAAAAAGCAGTAAGAGTTCATCGGGAAAAACACGAGATGAACAGCTATCAGATATTGCTGCAATGATTCAGCAAAAAATCCCCAAGCCATTTTCCATGGACTATGTGACCAAAAAATATCCCATCGAGTACAAGGAAAGCATGTCGACAGTGCTTGTACAAGAGGTGATTCGATACAACAGACTACTGTCAACCATTCATTCAACCACTATTGAAATGATCAAAGCACTCAAGGGTCTTGTTGTGCTTTCCGAGTCTTTGGAAACAATGTGCAATAGCATGTACATCAACCAAGTGCCTGAAATCTGGGCAGCCAAGGCGTATCCATCACTAAAATCGCTTGCATCGTGGGGTGTAGATTTGACACTCCGATGCGAGTTTATTCAAAAGTGGATTGATCAGGGCATTCCAACAGTATTTTGGATTAGTGGGTTTTTCTTTCCACAGGCATTCCTTACAGGAACTCTACAAAACTACGCTCGTAAATATGTAGTATCGATTGATTTACTTGGATTTGAATTTAAAGTCATGGATACCAAATGGGACGAGTTCCGAAGTAAACCAAGCGATGGATGCTATATTCGAGGACTATTTCTTGAAGGTGCTCGATGGGATCCAGTACAAAGATGTTTGACTGAAAGTCGACCCAAAGAATTATATACAGAAATGAGTGTATTATGGCTTCTTCCCAAACCCAATCGAAAGAAACCCGAATCTGGAATCTACAACTGTCCGGTATACAAGACATTAACACGAGCGGGTACTCTTTCTACAACCGGCCACTCCACAAACTACGTACTGACCATTGAACTTCCATCGAATCTTCCTCAATTACATTGGATCAAACGAGGAGTTTCGTTGATTACAAGTCTTGCTTGGTAGAACCGTCACTGCGACAATAATCATCAAACAAACACTGCAAACGTACAAGGATATTTAAATACCAAAATAAAAAGAATGATAAAGGTTCAAGTATAGCTGTATTCATGTAAAATGGAACACGAAATGAGAATAATAGAATATACACTTTTGTGAAATGTATGAATTTACACGAAATTACTAGACAGTATTGTCTTCTAAACTCTGTTATTTTTCATGATTAGCATGAAAACAGTGATTGAACCCAATTACTGGATTACAATCGATAAACTTGTTGATTGTGAAATGTGTGATTGCATTGAAAGAGAACAATTTACAAACTAATTTTATAAAACTAGTTTGTATTAGATGATCAAGATTGTGTTTATTGAATTATAATGTCAATTTTTAGTAACGAATATTTGAACATTACAAAAATATTTCATTTTATGTGAATATGACTGGAAATCGTAATAATCGACAAGCGAATAATTTGATGGAATTTGAATTTCTTTTGTTGCAGGATCTTGATTCACTATCATGAACATTGCAGATACGCTAAACAGCAGCGATATTATGGATAACAATGCGTGCAGTCTATCTGAAACGGACCATTCCATCATTCATGCTGGACAATCTACAAATGACAATTGTTGGAGCAAGGAAACTCGACCATTCGGTTGTTCCAAACCAGATGAACTGCATCATGCACTGGAACAAGTCTTGTTCAAGTTTATTGCTGGATCTCATTCAGATTCTGCTGTATGTCAACAGAATGCTTCCAAAGTACTCCTGCAGCCCTTGAAATTCACTCCAGTACGACTAGAATTAGCCAGCTCGCTCATGAATGATATATTCAAACCCATCTGGGACCGTTATAAGCTCTCGTTGGCTCAGGATAAGACTATTGTTGCTTTCCGTCGTATTATAGCACATATTGTGGTTAGTGTGGTGTTTCTATGGAGATATTATGGGTTAGACTTGTCACTAGTCTTGGGCTTGACAATGCATGTGTAAACTAGGTGGAAAATCATGGTAAACTGCTGCAAGTATTTTCTATTGTTCAGGATTTGTGGGATATTGCCATTATTGCTGGGCAGCAAGGTAGTATAGATGGTCTTGAAATGCTTGGATTGCTATTCTGTACGGCATCGATTAACAGTGCAACTGTATTGGGAATCATTGGAATGTGTAGGATTCACCGACGATGTCATAGCATTTAGACTTATTCACGATTTCCTGGACTTTATGACTGTGGACTGTACAGATTCATTGTTTTCTTATTTGGATAGTCGTGTAGAGATCATGACGCTTGTATGTAGATTTAAACCATTGAGATGTAGTCTTGCATTGTGATTCATATCTTGGCAAGATCGTTCATTTAAAGTTTTTTGACAGGGAATGCAATCGGAACGAGGTCGTGGACTGTTTCTACTTCGCTTTTGCAATGACTTTCTTCGTCGAATGTCTAAATCCAAACACAATGTTGTTTGTGGCAAACTGTTAACACTTGTTTCCAATACTTATCCACTGAGTGAAAGATCAGGCAAGTTGTTGATTTGGATTTTTTGTCCTTTTGATAGTTCATTTCTAACTGATTGCACATCTAGGAGTTAATGTGAGGGGAGAATACAATGTTGGAAATGTGACCGTGTTTGAGCCAGCGTCAAATTCTAATGAAATGGACGATAACAAGGAACCAAGCTTAGATTCTTTAAAAAGTACACAAATTGGCTTATTTCAGCGTCATCGTTTTACTGTCATTGATACTGATTTAAATTTTTAGCCAAAGCCGAGTTTTATCATTGTTTTTGGAGCTTGCAGGAGTACTTTTCAAATCCAACTTTGCTATTTGATATCTCTCATTTTACAAAGTTTCAAACGGTAAATACGTGACGTATCTTTGAGTTGAGTCTCAATACCCTGAATTAATCTACATCAATGACATACATTTAGGGCGTAGAAAAAGTAGTCAAAATATTTGACGATATTCAAAAAGAATCAGATCAAAATACTGGTTCGGATCGTGAACGACGCAAAGTTGGCGAAAAAAAGCATCGTGTTCCAACCATTGCAGATGCTCGAAATGATTATTTTTTCCCAAAGTTTTTGACTTCGACCAATCTTTTTGATTTAGAGGTATGACGATTTGTTTTAAAACCGAGTATATTATTGTGATTCAGCGCTTTTTAATTTGGTAGATACTACTTTTTGGCAATATGTTTAGCTCAATGATCCATTCTTTAGACGGCAGATTCTTTTGCAGATCATGATTGTGTTTCAATTTCTGTCTAGTTTAGTTTCTATGGAAAAAGAGAAAATTGTAAAGCAATTCTCTGAAATTGCTCAATCTATAAACAGAGCTATTCAGTATGCATATGTCCTAACAGCCGATCAGGTACTTCGTGTTTTGTGATTAGCGAATTCACACTTGAACTGCTAGATGGTGCTTACTTAGAGAATCTATTATTATTGATAGGAATCGTGGGTATCTGAATGTCGATCACGTTCATTCAAGGTTCTTGAAAGAATCTCACCAAACGGGAAAAAGTTTTCCAAGACATTGTTGACTGTTCTTATGCATGAAAGAAACTGGGTATGAATTTTTTCATTGATATAAGTTGACATGCATTATAGTACTTGTGATTTGCATGAGTGTATTGCCAATATTGACTCTTGTAATTATGCATGCAATTAATTTAGCTCAAATGGAAGCTTGGATCGTGTAGTTCATATGAAAAGCCAATAATAGAGTTGGGAACTACTAAAAAACGACGCAAGGCTGAACACTCCGCTGCTGCAAACAAGTCATGGCTAGGAAATCAAGAAATGACAAATTTGTGGGAGAGAGGCCGTGATTTGAAACAGGTGTTGAGAGACAAGGCCTCAAGGTTGGTGTTTGGAGTGGTGTGTAGCATTACGTAGTGCTGTCTTGATTATTCATCCTGTGCCGCTATTTGATGTTTAGATCGATTGTCACTAGTTTGGATGAGCACTTGAAAGAACTTGACTACCAACTAGAAGAAGACTGCGAAACTTTGGCCGAGGGCATTGAAGATCCTTCTTATGTTCATTATAACAACATGAGATACAACTGGATAGCGTATCGTACAGCAATCAAATCGCATGCTTACTTGTTTTCCAAAAAGGAAACGCGAAATGATGGATCCAAACCGCTTGATCCCAATGTGCCCAAATCTGCAGCAAAGTCGCTTGTAGTGGAGTTGTTGAGGGAATGGCGTAAAGTGGGTCAGAAGAATCAGCTGTTTTTGATTCAAAATTTGCCAGATACAGATCAGTCAGTATCTGCTACAGATTTGATTTCTGGGCAGGACATTGATGATGCAGTGATTGACGGAGGTGATGTGGAAAAGGACGACATTGACGGAAATTTGGTTCAGACACAGCTATCGCGTTCGAGCAGTGCGGAGAATATCAGTGAGAGTTTGAGCAAGCCCGCTACTCCTCGGCACAATGACACTAATTCTGATGAACCACCAATCATCCAACATACTGCATACAATGATATCGGCAAACTCAAAAAAGCTTCTGAAATTATATCCATTTCACAAGGTGTCATTGATGGCGATTCTTTAGTAGAACGACCATTAACCCCAGTAAGTTTTAAAACTATTTCTTCGATTGATGATTAACGACTGATTGATTTTCTCGTAATCTACTTGTGATCCAGCAACATTCTGGAAATATAATCACACTAATGCTTGTCTGCACTTGTTTAATTTAGAAACGATTATCGGATGAAAATGGTGATTTGAATGAACACTCAACCAAGCGATCCAAAATCGATACACTCAAAGAATAAAAAATAAACCAAACATCATTGGATCGCGAATATTTAACTGCACTACAAATGTATTACTTGAACAAGTAGATCAAATAAAGTTTTAGGAAATAATTTCCAAAAGGGCCGGTCGGCATATACGATCTGTAATACCTCGCACAAAAACAATCACACGTACACGCCCATCTTTTGAAGTCAGGCCCATGGATCTATCAAATCAGATATCATAAGTAACCCTGACATTCAATGAGTAGTACTAGATCGCAAAACATACCCTTTCAATACTGCATTTTGAACCTGCATGGCATTATATAGTTTGGCAAGACTGCAGCATCCAATGGCCTGTCCTTGACCTTGTCGAAGTGAAAAATGTCCAGTAGTCAAGTACCCCAAAATGCGATCTTTTGATGGAATATCATCCTAAAAACAACGATCCAATCAACAACCTTGGTTTGAATACAACTTTTACAAAAAACACATTTAAAACACTATAAAATATACCAAATTTGCGTCGGATTCCTCTAAAGTAGAAGCTTTTTTTTGACTGGAAAATGAATACTGTACCATCGAAGAAGCAAGACTATGCCAAGTGGAAATATCCGACTCAGTTGCTGCATACACAATGCCACGTTCTTGAGGTGCACCTTTTTTAATGGGTGTAATCACAACTCGCACAAATGCCGATTTAAGATCAGACAATACATCAGAAGATATTAAACTCCCTGTTTTGTAAGAGAGTGCAGTAAGCTTTTCAGCCAATACAGAGCACAATGCCGTATATGTGGGCAACGCATGAGATAAATTGTGTATAAGCTGGATGAGACTAGGTGAGTGCAACACTACGATTGGTGCTGTAGTGGACTTCCCTGGCAACAAGTCAGATGAAGCTGTTGATACTTTTTGAGTAATCTGTGCGCTTTCAGTAAGCGTTGTAGTTGGTTGCGTGAAAATTGTGCATACAGATTCAATCTCTGCAATTGAATGAGAAATGCTGGGTTCAAGTTGGTGAAACAAAGGAGCAAATGGTGAAGGTACTTGCAATGATTCATAATTGGGACGTTTTGCTTTGGGTGTACGATTATAGATCTTCTCTAATTCTGCACAAGTAATAGACGTATCGTCATCATATGTGGGTGTTTCGGGGTAATCATAAGGAAAACATGGAATAGCCGCTTCAAAATGAAAACTTCGTTTTTCTCTTAATCCTATTATTTAAATCAAAAATATTGCAGGTCTAATTAGTTGTAGTAATAAAACAAATGAAATCATTGGATAACGAGCATACCTGCAACTCTTGCCCCTGAAAATATAAATGTTAACCAAAATTCTTTTGCCCATCCGCGTGGAATAACTAGATCCCAACCATCTGAATATTCACCGCGTGAAAACTGCATAGAATAATAATTTGCACGATGAATCAACAAAATGGGAATTCTGCTATCAGTAGATGATGGAGCTAGTGGTGTGCCTGGAATCAAATTCATTGAGCGTCTCGCATTAATCTGCACGTTTGTTGCACGAGTATCCAGTGCTACCTTGCGAGATTCCTTATCCCATATAGAACTTTGATATGCTACTCCAGCTGGCCATTCTTTCAAAAGAGACAGGACATCAGATTGAACCTGCTCATTTTCAAAAGACGGTTGTGCATCATTGCGACTTTTCATTTTAATTGGGAAGCTGATTGAATATACAACATGTAAAGCAAGATATTAAATCACGAGTATTGGTGGTAGCAAGCTGTACAAATTTAAAATGAATAATACCAACAGTGGTTCAAAATATTAGTACCTGAGACGTGGATCTTGTACTGTTAGACCAAGTACTACACCAGGAGAAACAGATGTAGGCGAAATCAAAGAATACAGTTGCTGCCATACGCTATGGGATATGCTATTGACGTCTCCTAAATCCGTATTTTCACTGCAGAGTTGCAAACATTCGGATAGTATTGCATGCGATCTAGGTCCACAGAATTCAAAACGACAAAACTCGCCTTTTAAACTGACAATAGAAACAGGTGTGTTTGAAACCAAACTGGTTGGCAACTCAATTGCTTCTTTTAACAGTTTTAAAATACGCTCATGCGTGTCAGGATGTGTAAATAGCCAAACGGTTCGTATATCAGTCAAAGCATTTTCTGCAACTCGATGGTTGGGTTTCCAAAGAATCTCTATCAATCCAATAGCCCCTGCAGGATATGAGGCTTGTTTGTGAAAAAATGTCACCAGGTGTCTTGAGCCATTCAAGTAACTAATTGCATATTTATAAAATGTAAGTTTAACCAAATTTTTGTTTCAGATTTCATATCAACAAAATGATACTCAACTCTTTCTGTGCACAATTAGGAAATGTTGGATCCAAAAAGCTTTGAAGAAGCTTAACAACTACCAGTTCAGGACCATTCAATTCTATTGGTTGAATATACGATGCATCATGTATTACACTTTGATTTTTGCTGGATCTAAAAGCAGATCGTAAGTTTTTGTCATTGGGATGGTCAGCCTATGTATATATATAATCAAGCATATAGTGAGCATATCGAAAAAATGAAACTTGGATTTATAAATGACAATCAGTTACCAATTTATATCCCCATTTTTCGACCATTTTCATTCGTTTTGCGTGCCAAACATGGGTCTCAAGCCATTTGTTATGTGCTAAAATCAAAGTTTTGATTAAGCTAATTTGAATAAAATGTATTATACACAACAAATGCTTTTACCTGGCCGTTTCATAAATTCTTCAGAAAGGTGAGTAGCTTTCCGTTTTTTGTATCTATGCTTGGGTAAATTCTGGCAGGTTTTATCTTTTGACATCTATAAAATAAAACGACAATCATGCCAATCTGATTAATACAAATGGAATAATACTTTGGATTTTCCATACCAATTTTATAAAATTCAACCTGAACCAAAGCTCTCTTTCTAATGTGCATTGGTAGTCGTTTAACATTATAACTTGCAGCTCGACGACGCATATGTCTGGGAAGAGTTTGAAAAACTCTTTGTGCTCCGGTATACTCGCTGAATATAAATTAAGTTGAAAACTGTCAGTCATAATACTTGTCATTCCTAGACATTTCAAACAAAAAACATACGTTGCATTTGAAAGTGCTGTTTCCAAAGAACTAATCTCAAACGATCGTGCCTGATAACGAAAGCGATGGAATGAAATGAATGAAAAGTTGTGAATTTAAAGAAATGAATGGCGTACTTACCTGAATAACTTCATTGATCTGAAGTTGGCGAGGCGGAAGAGTCGTTATAGATTTGTCTTGTTTAAGCGAATTCGAAGCAATATCTTTTGAATTATAAACTGGTTCAGACACACCTTGGACATGCATCTGCTGTTTGACTTGAGCATAATTATGAATTAAACGACTTGATTTCTATCAAACATATTCCGATTTGACACAGAAACAGCGAATATTATCAAGCATACTTTTTTTTCTCTGTTTAGCATTTAAACCAGGAGTATCTAATCCTGAATTCTTACTAGAGTCGATCGCAGTTGTGCTGTCAGCCTGTCGCTTCATTTTGAGAATTTTAAGAATTTCACAAGAATTTCAATAATTTCGGCAAGAATTTCAAGAATTTCACAACATATATCACGTGATTTTACTTCACTTTTTGGTTGTTTGCTGCAAGTCGATCTTCACTTTAAATCAGACAATATGGGCGTTGGCTACTCAAAGACAAGCGCTGCTTCTGCCTTTGTGCTGCACAATCCCACTGTGTCTTCGCTTGATATTCCTATTCAGGTGATTTTAAATGGCTGTTTCTGATGTGAATTCACTTGTATAAAAGTTCATGCTGTAGATTGTATCGACTTATTTCTTGCCATGGATTTGATTCTATTAGTTTTCTCCCAACCTGGTTAGGAAACTGCAAGGTGTTGATGTAAGTTGGTTTTAATCCCTATTTGTGATCTCTAAATTATCATCTTGAATCAATGCATATTTATTGACATTAGATTGGAATCTTGTAGGACCGGATACTGCATTCATCTGCCGAGGAGGATTACTCTTCTGATGATCTTGATGCTATTGTTCAAAATCGTGTAAAAAAAGAACTATCATTTCATCAACAGTCTCGTTTGATCCAGGAACAGCGCTCTGTTGAGCAGGTCCGTCGCGAGGCTGAAGATCTCATTCGCAGACAAAACAAGTTAGTTGCTGTCTTGGCCCATTTGTTGCTTTGGGTTCAATGTTTTTTACATGATTATCTAGATCTAGTATTTAATCATGCCGTTGTACATTGTTCTTGATACACTCTATATTCTAGTATTCCTAAATTCGAACCAAAAGACGAGTATCGCATTGCCCAGGATGAAGTCGTAAAGTGCTACAGGTAAACTCAACCGAATTTGGAGTCAATTTAGACTGTATTAATCTAATTGAGCACAAGTAACGCTTTAACAAACTTGTAACCTATTGATGCTGATTAGGAATAACCCCACTCGTGCACTTGACTGTTGGCAGCAGGTACAGACATTCAAAGATCTTGAAAAAAAGGCACTCAAGGTATATTCTGTTGTGGCTAGTCATATTTGAATGTGTAGTTTACACGATATATACTTGATTCTTGCTGACTTGATATACAACAGGATTTTGTGGCCAGTGCTCATTAGACAAGCCATTTGATTGGGTTATTTTTATCTTGAGCCAATCCTTCTCAATATCGATATTATTATTAAAAACTCGACCAAGTTTGAAAACAATAGTCTAAACTAGTGTACATGTGGATATTTTAATCAAAAGCTGAGAAGAATTTGGTTCGATCTTGAATCGTACGTTGGAACATCTCTTGAACAGCCGCTTTGCTCAACTTTGGTGTCTTTTGTCTATTTCTACGTTCATTAGTACTGTCAGAACTATCGTCATCATCCGTTGACGACTGTTTAGATTGGCGTTTCAACGGAATATCAACCTTTTTTGAGAAAGATTTGGGTTTTGATATTTCGTCGCTTTGCTCGTCCTCTGAATCACTGTCTTGAGTATTGTCACTGTCTTGAGTATCTTCACTTTCACTCTGATCGCGTTTGTCAGCTACATCAACTGATTTGGGGTGTTGAATTACAACAGACTCATCTGATTCGCCATCTTTGTCTTCATCACTGTCTTGATCCTCACTACTGTCATCAGATTCATCTTGCTTATCATCACTGCGGTCTCCAGAATCATTTGCTTTCCAAAATTTGACCAAAGTATCATGAGAACACGTTGCCAATATCTCGTCATCAAACGACATGCGCATTTTTTCAATAGGCATTGTTTCGCCAGTGTCCGCTACCGCACCAATCAGCCTATGAGGAAACATGCCAACAGATCGAATAATGCCATCACTGGATCCACTGAAAATCGTCGAGTCTGTGTTTTTGACTAGAGAACTGACACTCATTGGATGGCCTGGAAATCGGTCTGTACAGTCGCCCCAGTTTCCAAAAGAAAAAATCAGCAACACTCCTGACTGTGTTCCGACGACAGCCTTTGTTGAATTCTATATATTTTAATGAGTCTATTAGAGATCGTATTTGGAAGTGCAAAGGCTCCAAAACAGTAATGCATCAAAAAATAGTTACCCGAATAAGTTTAACAGATAATAATTCATCATCCTGACTAGCAGAAACGGCAACTGCTTTGTTGCTGGAGAGGTTGTATACGGAAAGACACCCATCACCACCAGTAGCCAAGAGCGTGTTCTTGGCTTTATCAAACTCAAAGTCGGTAATAAAATCACGATTATCGTGATACTTTCGCACCACTCTGCGCTGTCTGGTATCCCAAATCTAAGTATTCAATGAAACACATCAGTATTAGACAGGCTGAGTTATTAATAGAAAAGTTGGAGTATGCCATGACACGATACTACCTTGATGCATCCAGCGTCATCTCCAGTAGCAATCATACTCTCAGATAACGACTTGACAATATTAATAGGCTCACTACAAAAACCAGCATACTCATCAATTTAGCTTGTCAACCAAAGACCAATGTCAGCTGTTTATTCAAACACATACCTGTGCGCATCTACTTTACGTAACTTGACTTTTTCAGAATCAACATCAATCATTTGAACTGATCGATCTTTTGATACAGAAAACAACTCTATGTAAAACCGTTAATACTTGATTTAAAATATATGGAGTTGTTTAGAGAGTCAAACCGATCATACCTGCACCACTTGTGCTAAAATCAAGCGACCGACATGAATGCTTGTGAATGCGCTTGTTGAACAATAAAGTTGCATCTTGAGTTGTATCATGGTTTCCATAATCGAAGCTTTCAATGGATGCATGGCATATCAGATGAATAAGAATGGGTTAAACCAATGACAGGATATTAGTTTTACATGGATTAAAAATAAAATGTTGAATCATTAATTGAAACTGATTATTCATTCAATCTTACCAAACAACTTGACCTTCAATTGTACCTGCGGCTATAATGGATTTAGAAGGATGAAAAGTCAAGTCAAATACTTGCTCTCCGCACTCGATGACTTTTAATGGTTTGGTTTGCATGTTCTCTAGTCAAGGAATTGATTAGAATATTAAAAAGATGCTCAACTGAAAAAATTGTTTTTCTGAAAATCAAACACGACCAGAAAGCAATCTTGTTGGCCGTGTTTATGTAAAATGAAACACTTTTGTAATGATTGTCTTGGAATAAACAATTGTTGAATATTCGCTGTTGTTGGAAATGAATTATTCGTTTTATTGAAACTATTTTAATATTAGACACGTTCTAGTTCAACATATCTCAATAATGCAACTATACATGCAAGTCATCCAACGTTTACTTGAAATATTCATTTTGATGAAAAGGAAAGTTGGAGGTTGAAAACATGTCAAGGATGTGGAATGTATTCAAACAGAGATGTAAACATTTTTCAGTATTTTTGTACAATAATGAGCATGGAGGAGAAAGACTGGCGAATTAAAGTTTACAAAACAATGCTGCCTAGTAAGATTGGCTATTTATCGTGTATTTTAGTCTAATGTTTCATTATACGTGAATACTGGCTGTAATATTCTAGATTTGATATTTTTAAAATCATGGTTTATTTAAAAATAGATTCTATTTTAAACTATTCATGTAGACAATAAAGAGTCTGTAGACAACACTAAATCTGCATTCATCGACAGTCCTGTTGACTTTAATGGTTGTCGTTTGTACTGATGGTGTCCTGTCATGGATCGTTGTGTTACTCTTGCAATATCTGCCTCCAAGTCACGCACTTGCGTATTCGCTTCTTTGCCGAATGCTTCCACGGCTTCGCTTTGCATCATTGCATCTGTTACATCCGTCTTTGCCCTTTTATCCCAAATATAATGCATTCAATACTAATGTTCAAGTAATACTACTCAAACTAAACCCTACCTAAGAAATGCATTGTTGAGGCTCATGTCTTGCTTTGCATGGTATCTCGCATCTCTTTTAAATCGATCCCGTTCCATAATGGCAAGATCTAAATCTCTTTCTGAAAATAGCATATTTTAAAAAAACAACATCACCAATTGAAGTTTACAATATATATGACCAAATAACTTACGAAGTCTTCGACGATCTTCAATCAACTCGGCCTCTTTACCAACCAGCACACCAACTTGACGGCTCAAACTTTCAACTCGACCTTCTGAATTGATGCATCGTGAATGCAGCACACCCAATTCACGCTTTTCATGCAAGATCTGATCCATCAAGTCACGATGTTGTGCATTGGCTTTATGAAGCTTGACTTCCAGCTCAGTGATTTTTGCTTGATGCTGCACAATTTGATTTCGAAGGTGTGATAATGAAATTTCATATTGCTCAGTAATTCGGCTCGATTCCTCTTTCCTAAACATATCATTCATGATGGATTACAATTATTATTTTCAGTTTGATGACCAACATATCAATTCATGTAAATATATACCACTTGTCGCCTAACCGACGCTGATCGCTTAATAGCGCCTGCATATCCCGACACGTTTTGGAATGCGCTTCAGTTACTTGTTCTAATTTAGTTCCAAGTTCAGATTGAATGGATTCCTTTTTGGCTACAAGAGATGCCACTGCTGCGTCGTGTGCGACTTGCTTTTTGGTTTTTGCTTCCAATTCCGACTTTTTCTCATGTTCTAATGTGGCGATCTTACTAAGCATTGAAATTTGATCATTCTATATTATTCCATTAAAATAAATTTATAAATTCAATAAAGTAGCGTTTTAAAATTAGAAATTAGCAATCTAATGTGATAAAACTCACTTTGGCCTCTTGCAAATCGTGCTCTACTTTGCGCAACCTTCGATACGCTTCTTCAGAGCTTGCTGCAAGTTGAGATCTTTCGACTTCATAGTTGTTGCTTTCTCTTGTCATATTTTGATGAATACTAAAAAACAAAATAAGCATGTGCGCTTTAAAATCAAAATATGAATTGCATTACCTTTCAACTTTATGAAGAGCTTCTACACGCTCACGCTCTGATATACGAAGTTTGGCATGCACCTCTTCAACAAGCATGCTTAGTCGATCTGCTTCGGCGGGAATGTGGCGTGTCAGTCTATCAAGCTCGCTTTCTGCCGCTCTGTACCAATGATTTAAAAATATAATGCAGATATAAACAGTCTGATTGTTTTTTAGCAAAATTCAATGCACTTTACCTTTTTTCACGAATTGCTCGCTCACTTTGAGCCTTGATTGACCAAATATGTAAAGCAATTAGTTTCAACTTGTATTAAACTGAAATATATTGACGATTTACCTGTAAAGTTGCACACAACGTTTCCAGCTTGGATGTTTCATCTAAAAATTTACGTCTATCTACATTGAATTGCCCACGAATTCTATTCATAAATGTATCAACACTTCAGATCAAATGTATTTGATTAAGCTAATGTACAGTTTTACTTACAATTGAATGGTTATTTCGTTTTTTTCGGCGTATTTTGCTGGCATATCGTCAAGTTTTTTGGAAAGTGATGCGACTTCAACTTGTAATTGTGCCTCTCTTTTTAAAGCCTTGTCACGTTCAAAACAAAACTCTTCCATCTGATTCACAATATATATTTAATGAGCATATTTGTTAGATTACAAAAATATACTTGAACTTACCTCTTGAGTTTGCCGCTGGCAGTTTTCTATTGAAATCAGCTCGGCACGCTCCATTTCTTCTATTTTCTTTTCAAGTTTTTTATTGATGCTTGTTTTATTCGAAATCTCTTGTTTCATTTGATCGATTTGCTTTTCATGTTGCTTCACACGTGCTTGGTATTCTTAAAAAGTGTATTATGTATCATCATGATGAAAATGAATTAGTCTGATCAATAAAGTTGTGATTAAACGAATCTACCTTGAATAGATTCAGCCTTGATTTTAATCTCATTGACAAGCTCACGCTCAAGATTGGCATGTTCTGCTGACTCTTTAATGTGCATCTGATATCGATCAGTGATATCTGTCACGGCTCTTAATATACCATGACAAAGTGAATTGGATCAGTAAACTGTTGATACAACAACTCTATTGAAACATTTACCAACACATACTTTTTCAAATCAGATATCTTTAATTCAGCCATGTTGATTTCTCCTCTTTTTTTTTGAATCTGTGTTTGCAGTGATTCAATATTTGCTTGCGAGTGCGCTGTTTCAGTACTACTTTGTCGCACTTCTTCTTCAAGAGATGTTTGTGTAGCTTTTAGTTGAGCTATGATTGCCTCCAAGGATTTTGTATGTTCTTTGGCTTCATCAAGTTGCATTACATGTGTATTGACTAGATTGGTTATTCCAGTAGTAAAAATATATCAGTGATATTTAATTGATGGTATAAGCAAGCGTGGCAATAACTTGCCTGTGCGACTATATTGAGCAACTTGATTTTTTAGCATGTTAGCTTCATGTTCAGTTTGACGGTTTTGTTGAAGCAGATGATCGTTTTCAGCTATCAACGATCCAATTCTGTTTTGATTTTCTTTCCTGTTGAGTTGATTAGCATGTCATTTCAAATGTCAACACGATGGTCTTGGTAAATAACTATTAAAAGGCATTTGGTACGGCTATTACCATTCTTCATGCTCCAGTTTGGCTAAATCATGAAGTCTTTCTTTAGACCTATTTTGCTATTGAAGTTGTAGTTATTTTGTAAAATAATATACTTTAAACCCGCGCAAGTTAAATTTAAACTCACCTGTATAAACTTGGCGGAGCCTCGGTATTTGTATGTAAAATCGATGCGGTAGTTGGTAAAACAGGAGCAGCAGGCAGTGGCTGTTCGGGTTGTGGGATTGATAAATCACTCTATTGTTTTATAAATCTATTAGTACCACTTTGTGCAGCTGCAAGAGTTTATGATGGCTTACAATTTTTGAAATAAAGGACATGGATGGAGTCATATTGGATGGATCAGCATTTCCGGATAAATCCTTGTCCGATTTAGATAGCGTATGTGTACTTTTAAGCGAATTCTATATTGCAAAGAATTTAGGGGTTTAAATTGATTAGATGAGCCATTGAAGTATCTTGATTATGCTAACGCGAAACTCGTATTATCTGGCGTGCAAGACAATGTTTCAAGCCAGATTCAATTGTACAAAGATGACATTCAAGGACATACTTTTCCATTAAACAGACCCATAGACGCCTGATGTCTCATGGCTAAAAATAAGCATGTCAGTTGAACAGCATTCACAAATATACAAGGAATAATTCCAAGCTGCAGACATGACCATGATGGTTTATGGTCAGTATATATAATAGTCTAAGCTTGCCTTTAAGTTCTGGAATTTGAGCCAATTGATGCATATGTGGAGGGTTTTTGCGACGTGAAGGAGACTCCAAGTCGTCAGTATCCTTAAATACCATTTCTCCAGTGACCTTGGAACACATGTTGGATGCCATCTAATTGAACGTGCAACAATGTTCGTGAACGACTGAACCCAATTAATATTTGGCTAAAATTCAAATTGGCCCAAAATTTACAGATTTGATTGTAATTCATTTTTTTAATTTGCCCAAAATTTGTCAATGCCACGCACAACAGAACACATTGCTGACGTGCATGCAGCAACAGATGAGCAACTGGACAGCTATAATGATCGGATAGTAAACTACCTGCTGTCATTGAAACACTTTGAATTGCGACCAGTCAATATCGGACAAGTTGCAATCAATCGAGATGAATCTGAACAGATTCTCACCAACACACTTTATAAGGATCCAGCACTTTTTCTTGGTAATCCGCCATCAGTTGTAAACACATTTGAAGCAGAATGTTGGTTGGAGTCCATATACTAAGCATGTACTTTTTCAATACACTTTATAGAAAAATGGGGCAAGTTTCTGACTGCAGATTTGATCCAGTCATTTCCAACAGATGAAACAGACTACGAAATCACATTCCATCTTGATCGTTTAAAAAAGTCGCTTTTTATTCATCAGCCAGTATCTAATCAGCATTCAGATACAGCAAAGTTGGTACGAAATCGTCGATTCAAATACTTGAAACTCTTACTTGATCGCAACGATGATTATTTCTCTATCCATGCAATGCGAGATAGAGAGCCCATCATTTATCAAGAATATATTGGGCAATTCATAACTACTGAACAAATGCATGCAGAATTTCCATCAGATATGCGATTGGTGGATCGTATTTTTCATGATGTAGACAATGCAATGTTTTTGGAATCAATTGGAAAACGCAGTTATGGGGACAATAGTAGCTTTTTGAAAAACACGAGTGTATCAAGAAACAGCGACAAAGACGAGGATATTGTCGAGTATGATACTGATTCAGACGATAACGAGGATCAATCAGAGTTTACTGCACATCCTAGACCTAAATCAGAAATCGAATCAAATGACAATGCAATTTCTGGTGAATCTACTGATCAGCTCCAGGTTGAACTCGACGATAATAATACCACCAAAGAGCAAATTGACTTGTTGGAAGTGGAATTTAACCGAATTATGCATGAGCGATTTGTGGATGGCTTAGATGTAAGGCTTGATTGTTTAAATGTAAATGCTGATACTTGAAACTGAAACTAATTTATAACTTTGTTCAAAATATAGGATTTTGATTACTCCATAGTGGACAATTGTGAAGAGTACGATGATTTTGATATTCTAGCATTAGATGCAGAGGATCGATATTTTGATAGTGAAGATCCAAGTAACTGAGTGCGTGTTGCTCGGCCATATTGAACAGAATGTAGTCTATCATTGACTTATAATCTTCATCAATAAACGATTGTACAAACCTGAAATATTCAAATACTGTTTCACGCACCATTGACATGATCAAAACTAAATAGCATTTAGATGACCTAAATACTGCTTCGAGATTCCATTGCAGTTGGATTCACGTAAAATAGAGCACAAAATAAACTCGAATCAATTGTTAGATTCAGCTATATCGATTGATTGTTTCTACTTTTACTCAATTCAAAATAATATGATATTATAATATACTTTAGTGTAATGAGTTCAAGAATACTCTACACCAAAGTATAAGCTGGAAAATTCAACATTATGAAAGTTGGACAATATCTTGACAGGATATCAGGAATTTACTGAGCTGATAACAACTATGGATTCATATAAAGGGAAAGCACCGTTGCAACAGAAGCAATACATTCAGAGAAAGTTGACAGACATGTGGACAGTCAAGAATCAATCTGCTGGGCCAACTTCACAGACTGGCAATCACTCGACCAACAATACTACATTGGCAACTTCAGCTATTAGTCATGACAGCAATGTCATCATGAATGTCAGTAATGAAACTTCAGACAGCAGTGATGATCCTCACACTAAAGTCGACGACTATTCCAATGTAATTCATTCACTGCCAGATATTAATGTCCTTTTATTCGTTGATCCGAGTATTGATGTTTTTGCTATTATATCGCTACTCATTAGAAAATCAATCTATCCACCAACGATGCAGTCATTTTACCCATTATAGTCGCTCCTAATCAACTACCAGCACATGCATCCCAAACTGTATTTCATTTTGCTAAAATCTACAATTATCACCGCCTATCACGACAACTAGACTTGACTGCAAAACTCGCTGTTGCTCCTAGATTAGATTTATTAATCGACATTATTGCTGCAAACTCTCCTCCCCTTTTTGGGCATAATGTATTGCAAGAGTTTCTTTTAAAACAAAACTCAAACTATCTACTTAAAGTAGTTCCATTCATTGCCTGGCTAGCACTAGAATTACCCACTCTATTTCCTCACGGATTATCCAAGCTACCTAGTGGTATCAATCGTTGTATTACTTTAACTCAGCTTCAGGTTTGTATCCAAGTTTCATTCTTATTTGATGTCAACATATACTTGAATGTTAATATGTTTCTAGGTTGCATCTCTTCTGGCATGCGCGTTTCTGTGTCTATTCGATAATCATCAACGCAAAGTAAACTATCCAAATATTAATTTCTACCGAATCTACAATTCACAAGCAAGTGAATACTGTCCTAAAATACAATTTATTTTTCATTACTTTGAACGAGTAATGTTAAAAAAAGGTAAAGTGAATACATTTAATTGCTAATCACTAGTCATATCTGACTTTTAATTGAATATAGAAAAAGAAACCCTCGATGGAAAGATTACTTTTCATAGATCTGTTGTTTCAAAATGCAATATGCCAGACTGGCCAGCCCATACATTTACTACTTTAAGAAAATTGGAACTGCAATTCGACCGTATAGAAGACATACATGGCACCTCCCAGGCTGATTTTGCCAATAAATACATTGGCGGCGGTGTTTTGTCATCAGTAAGCAGGCTACTACTGTGTTTTCATTTGCATACCATATTTATGCATATTCTAAAACAAATCATTTATACTCTTAAAAACAGGGTGCAGTTCAAGAAGAGATTTTGTTTTTGATTATGCCCGAGCTTATTGCATCATGTATAATCACGGAATGTTTGCAAAGCAATGAAACGCTTTACATGATTGGCATAGAAAGGTATTCCAACTATAGCGGATACGCTCAAACACTTGGCTGGGCTGGACCGCACATCGATACTGTAGCTAGGTAAATGTCATTCAGGCACGTGTATATGATTAGTATCAATTGCTTGCATCACAAGACTGATCAACTTTTGCAATAATGATAGAGATGAACATGGTCGTCGAAAGCGCGAATTTGTTGCTATGGATGCACTCAAATTTAATTATAGAAATAGTGAATTTGAATACAGTCAACGAGCTGTTTCAAGAGAACTTGGGAAAGCATATATTGCCTTTCAAGGATCTCCTGTTAGCACTATACCTACATCTTCTGCTATTTCAACTGGTATGCTTCAAGCAAATGCTTTAAACTGACGTGTAATTTTAAAATAAGCTGTTCTAATTGTAATTGTTGTCATTTGTGTAAAATATAAATACAGGAAACTGGGGTGTGTTATTTTAGTTTTGCTGTTTTTCAAACACCATTTGTTTTATTCATATATTTATTTAAATGTATATTGCATATCTAGGTTGTGGTGCATTTAATGGCAGTCTTGAATTAAAAAGTTTGATTCAAGTCATGGCTGCATCAGTTGCTTCTCGAGATATCATTTACTTGCCCTTTAACAAAACTGAATTTGCTCAAGATCTAATCCAAATTTTGACTGAACTACGCTTAAACAATGTATCTGTTGGTAAGTATAGAAATACAATCCTTACATTTAATGTAAACTTGCTTAGTATTGCATACGCTTTTGCTGACATGCTTGAATTAATTTATTCAATTGTTTCTAATAGCATACTTATTCAATATGATTTCAAACTTTCATCGAGATGCATTTTCAAAAAGAAAGTCGACATCATGGTCATTATTTACTTATATTCGCAAAGCTCTTGAAAGAAAACAGTTATCAAATCAATTTTAAAATCGGCGTATGTATCATCTAGTATGTTTTATAGATTATAAATATGCATTTTTTACCAATCAATCATCTTGACACACAATAAACGCTATATATTGAACATGTAGTTGAGGCAGTAATAACAATTATGCGTATATTTTAAATGCAGTATTGACATTTGGATACAAGACATGTCTATTTTTGTGACAACTGCATTGATTCAAACGAGTTTGGTTCATGATAAACTTTACCTTTTTTGATGAGCAGGCAACGAAGCCTTGGAGTATGCAATACCGCATATGTGACATAGACGAAAGGCACTTGCTGAGCCTGGTGTGCTAACACATCCAGATGAAATCATACTATATATGTTGGTTTAATTCTGGGAAACTTGCGAGCTTGGTAGTACTTGCGAGTTTAATCGAACGAGACGCGTTCTATTAGTTGGCATTCCAAAGTCATATTCAATCATTGTTCTTTAATTATTTATTGAATGACTGTATCAATGCAGTCAATGCATCAGTTTCAACCAATACTGTATGTGATATAGACTAATGTGTCACGTTGCAGCAAGTCTGACTCAGTGTTGGGTAATGTTTAAAGTTTACGATTCAGTCAACTCTACCACCAATCAATCAACACCAGTTATCAAATCAACAGCGTGTTTATTTGTTCAGTTATCAAGTCACTACTGTTGTTGTGATGTATTCAATGATTTAAATATAGAATATTGCAGTCCATTTTCAATTGCATCATCTGATACAATTACAATCCAACAACACTTGACCAAACAACTTGTGCAATCATCAGCACCATACATATTAGTCCAAAGATTGCAATCCATTTGGATCGTACATAAATAGTCAGCCATGACGGCAAGGCTCTAAATGGAGAATACCCCTCCATGGAAATCTCTCCTAAATCAAGCAATCCAAATGCATCACTATATGATTCTGACATTTTACTTTCTCCAAAACTTTGCGAAAGTTCGACATGGTTAGATCTGTTTCGATTGTATAAACCAGCTACGCGCGACTTGACCTCAGATCCACTACTCCGTGTTCCTTTGGTTGACGATTCAGCAAAAGATCCATATCCATATGTATTGAACTGACTTGCTGCCATGGATGATCCAAGATTGGATGTTGATCCCATACGACTTGCTGTCATGACGTCTAGGTTCTGTGTGTTTAATGATATGCGTGATGTGCCTACTCCAGAAGCATTCAATCCCGTCAATCCATCTGAATGGCGAGGATGACTTGCACGCAGTCCCAATCGATGACTGGCATTTGGATCAAGCATACTTCTGATTTGTTTGATCGAGTGTTTGGATGCAACCGATAGTTCCCCAATCGATTTTCCCCTTTCTAATCTATCATGATCAGTTTGTTTTTTAAATGGATTTCGTCTGATAATCCTGTCCTGATTTGCATGTGGCAGGTGATAAATGTAATCAAACTCATCCTCCTCGTCAGTAAACCCCTTTTTGATTCCAGCAGTAATATCAAGAAACTCCAACTATTTACAAAACAGTCTCGTGTCAAAATTGTCAGTTGGGTGATACTAGACGATCAATAATGCTCCAAACAATCAACACAGAACATGTTTGAATCTCAGCTAGATTGTCCACACTCCATCATCAACATGCTTACCTCGTCGATTACTGACTGCGCCATAACTGTGTTTCTCTTGTTCATAAACATAAATATCAGAAATGGTACAAAAAAGTTGCAAATGGCTTGAAACGTCACGCTTGTCCAGATTCCAAACGGCACAATCAAACTTCCAGTTTGAAATGGGATTCCAATTATAAATGGAGCTATTACTGCCCAAAATGTTGCCATCCCTATATCGTCACAAACATGTATTGTAAATTGGTATTTAGATCTCTAAATGCATATACTATCAATGCACATCTTGATTGCACATAAACTCTCAAAAACAGCAACCCAATCGTGAATTACCTGACGAACAAAGACCCGCAGCAAGAAAATTAATCTTGACAACAAGCATGGCGACTGGAATAGACGTGGCATAGGTCATCACTGGGAAAAATAGATACATGAAAAACAACCATCCTAAGCTCGATGTCGAAAGTGCAGAGTCATTGTACATTGCTTGCAACAAATTTGTGTTTGCATCTGTATGGAATCCAAGTGAGCCTAGAGTATCAATGCATACCATGTTACTTGTTTAGTATCCATTGCAGTCATATCCATATTGATTGAAACCGGCAATGTGAACAGTATATATCGCATACTATTGACTTTTCATACCAAATATACCAACAAGAATGTAAAAAGTGCATGCAAGTATAATAGACACCCAAATACTTTTGTGGATTGAAACGCGTGGATGCTAACATTTGATGCAATATTTTGGATTAGTAGCTTCATATACAGCCAGATGCTAACCGTTGTTTATCCCAAACTATTACGTACAGCTATATTTACCCAAGATGGGATTTCATTCGCCATTGCTATCATAATAAAAATGTGTACACGTTGGCATTAAAACATGACACAACATTGCCTGACATGAGATGAAATCAACCTACCAAAATTAAACAACACACTTCCAATTGTACCGCTTTGAGATGATCCAATCATGGGCAGATTTTCTTTATGAAGTCCATCCAATGAGCTCTGGATAATCAATGTTCCTAAAAACAAAACAGTATACACGCATGAAACTATATCGATTCGTATCAGTACGAGTCCTGTAAAATATAGCCATAATTCGTGTGACAATATACAATTCAGATCTTACTGAGTTGCAGAATAACGTTATCGTTTAGATCAATGCGTGTAAGTGGAATGATAAACATGGCAGTAAGCTAGATCATCAATACGAACAGATCGTATATCAAGACAAGCGGTGTCAAAGTGGTACACTAGAATCAGTAAGTATCGGACCATCAAAAACCAACAATCTCATCAAGCATGTATTTTTACAATGTAGCCAAACGTCCCGAGCATGTAATTATCACCAAATGGCGAGTTTTCAACTCCTGAAGAATAAACACAGATCAATCCATTGAGCGGTGTAATTCCATACCCGCATGTTATGCCAAAAAATCGAATAAAAATATTATCAAACACCTGCATGCATACAGAGCAACAAGTATTCAGATAAGCAAATTCATAATGTCTGTTTGACAGCACATCCAAACCAATATCGTTATTTGAAAATCAAGATTCCAACCTGAGCACATCCAATAATAGAAGCAATGTTGGTACTCTGTAGTGATCCATATAGAATAAAAATCATGGCGTAGTACCAATTGCGTCCGTAAAACTGATGAACCAAAACAGTGAATTCAATATTTCTCTACACAACATTTATATTACAATCAGCTCATGTCGTTAGTTACTCTGTCAGACTATCTTGAAATGGATGAATTGCTGTACCACACTCGAATAGGGTGTTTCATTGACTATCAATGGGTTACCTGAAATCGGTCGTTTCCTGGAAATATCGAACATGCCTCTATGATAAATAGACATGCAAACCCAGCCAAAACGCCTATAAAGATGAACGCCAGGACAGGACTGCAATGAATTCAACAAAACCGTATACACTGATATTAGAATGCAATATCTTGAACACAAGATTCAACCCAAGTTGGAAATATTGACTAGATTTACATGAGCCATCCTGCATTTTGAAAAATCGTTGGAATAATCACAATGCCTAGTCGTTTATAAATTAACAAGCATCGCAGTGTGGAAACAACCCAGAACCAGTATTTGTTAGCACAGTTTATGAGTTTGATTCAGATGATTCGAGATGCATTAAAATTATGAAACCTGCCTGGTCCAGTAATACTGGTTAGTAGCAAACTAACGCTGCCTATATACCCACTATGTATCAATATCATTAAATTAGTATTCAACCTGCATTCAGCTTGCATTCAGATACGAGTGCATTCAGCTCTTATAGTTGAGCTGATATCTGAATTACAAACGAAAAATATCACCCGATACTTTTACAAGGTGTCATTAGTATCTGACAGAATATATCAACATACATGTTTTTTGTATATCCCATAATGACTGGCTCCAAATACTAGCAACTTTATGCTCACTGCTTCAAGAGCAACTTCAAGCGTTTGGAAGCATTTTAAAGACGCGAATATCCCGAGTTGATAAAGATCAGCATCAACTCGTTCATTGTCAAGTAATTGATACTGGAACAAAGTGCAGACCATCCATTTATATCAATTGCATTGTTTCTGGTTTGAATCCAATGTATCCTCGTGGCAAGTACTTACAAATTCAAGTCAATGCATTCAATCCCAAACTCGATCCTATGTAGTCAAACTTGATTGGATATAGACAAATTCAATCATTTAAAACTTGATTGGATACTCATACCACAGGTTTAATTTTGGATACAAGGTTTTTCTGATTTGATAATTCATACTACTCGCGTTCACTTTATTGTATTCACCACAGACTTGTATTCTCGAGTAACTGCACAACAAGTTACCCAACAGCCATTCCAGCCCTGTACCTTACACTATATATACTCATGTCGGATTTGGTATACATCAAGAATGTGTAAGTTGGTTGTAATTGGCTCGACACTAATTTGTAAGGCTACATTTTTGCAAGTCGTGTCATTAATCTAATCTTGACACAATGATACCAGCTACTCAGAACTCTAACACCGTTACTCTTGAAATACGATCTATGTAATGTATGGATTATAGTGGGTTTTTGGGTTGTGTTAGTATGTTGGTAGCGAGCATTGTTGGTCCAGGTAAAGTCTGTTGGAGTGTCTGGATATAAAAGTATCACATTACCGTTTATGCTTGACTAACCATATCAATCATCACAGCGTTGTATATCATGCCAAAACTTTTTCAAGCATATGGATGGATTTTGTAAGTTTCATGTTGAAAGTATTTCATCAAGTGCGGTTTGGTTTGCATTAAAGTAGACCAACAATATCATTTTGGAATTTCACAAATGGCTCAACGCATACAAAAACGGTTCGTGTACACGAATCATGTTCAGAACGTTGGCAGCTTTATTTTTCATAGCACTATTGGCGTATATCACTTCATTGTTTATGATTGAGGCAGCTTCAAAGTTTCCTGGAAATCAGCGCTTTCAGGTACGCTGATTTGTCATGGTTTAAAATGGACATTAATGTTTAGTGATTAAAATACCTAACTGGTGTCCAATGTATATCATCTACAGAGAAACATTGAATACACTGTTTTAGTGCATCAGGTATTATTTGGTGAATGACTGACATTGAGCAACTTTATTACAACCGTATTCACGAATACCAAATATCAACTGGGCAACTCAATCACGATCGACTATGCTAAAACCCAACATTTTAGTTTTATGGGAAAAAATGGTTTTATATTGCTGTATCAATTTTGTATGGATCTATTACATCATGCATTGTAATATCATTGGTGACTTCATCTCAGGTACATTTAATCGCAGTATCCAATGGTGTCGATTGCAAACCCCATTCATTTGGCTATTCAAACCAGATTCAAGATTCTGACTTGTTTAAACTGTCATCACATGCGTGCAGATACTGGATCGTTTATACGTTGATGTGCTTGGTGGAACGTGTGGAATTGGCATGTTTCCAAGCAGCAATCTATACTGCACGCATTCAACTAGTCCAACTCCATCTCCATTTGAATCAGACACGATGTTCATTACACTTGGTTCATTTGTAAGTTTACAGAATGTTTGATGTGAAATGGCAATCAATTGGTCACGATTGGAGATTGCTGCTTTGAAATAGTATGAACTGATATGCATGTGATATGTAGACGAATCTAGCACTTTTGGTTCCGTTTACTTATTTTGAACTTAATGTAATAGTACCAATGCAGCTAGGTATAGCATTATATTGATTTGCATGGCCAAGCTTGTATTTACAGCCATATTCACGCAAAATGGAACGCTTGTATTTATCTTGCAGCGATTGTTTCTACTACAATCAAACTATAGTCTTAAACAATCTCATTTGACATGGTCATGAAATGGGTGATTGTAAAATTCAGGCATTTCAATCCAGTGCTGGGTTTGGCTGCTGTCAATCAAACTTGTATTGGCTGTATCCTAAACTTTGGATACGTTTGCAGTTTAGAAATGCAACTGCTGTTTCCATTCCAACCGCTATTGAAACTGTAATGTAAATAACAACTCGGTTGTTTTACAAAAAATGAGCACAAAACCTGTCAGTTTTGTCAAGAAGTTTAAAAGACACGATGTTGTCTAGTAAATTTGGCGTGAATTACCATTTTATGAAGCTGGCAGTTTATGTATTTTGACACCTTTATTCAGTGCTCCATTTCGTATGAATACAATTGTAAATCTGACAACTGGTATTTTTCAAATAGTATCAGCTGCTGCGATTGGACTGTTTACATTGATTACAATATGCACATCGATTTCTTCGGGGATTAACACAAGCAGAACTTTTTTAAAAGTGCCAAATTTGTCCAACTTGTTTGGAACCATGTTTTTTAGTTTTGGTAAGACTCATAACAATATTAATGATAAATGATACCTTGTCTTGCTGAAACTAATTTACACTCATTATCATCAATGTTTATCAATGCTTTCAATATAGCATTTTCCAAAGAGATTTTAACTTTGGTGAACATTGCAGTATGTTGATCGTGTTTGAAAATTTTCAATATTTGATATTGCTGGTTTTGTGGTTACTGATAATCAATGTTTTGTCTAATATCATCCATTGATCTTTGTAGCATCCAAAAGTTGATTTGAAAAAATGCGTTGGATTATCAACATGCATAGCATGCAGTATATATGTATTGATTGGTGTATTTGGTATGTAGGCAGTGATCAAAATATTGAATTGTAAAATACCAAACAATTGCTTTGACTAATGTGTTTACAATGTGGGTATTTGGTTAAATAGGTGCGCTTGGGTTTGATCTGGATTCAAGCAATACCATTGTTGCGGCAATGTATAGTAGCCAACACGATAATTTAATCGGCATAATTGTGTTGGAAATCATGCTTGTTTTGATACCACTCTGCACCTGTATAGCTTCAATTTTAGTCAACATGTCCATAATTCAATTAAACCTTGTTACTGGGCAAATTTGCTCCAAACGTAAGTGATTCTGTCATTGGACTACAGTCTTGAAATTGATTTTACGCTAAACTATCAATCGAATGTAATCATGTTCAATATTAAACACTAGCATGGGCTCGGTTTTGGGGTGTCATTGTGCCATTGTGTATTGCTGTTCCGCTGCAGTCAGGCATTGGAGTTGCTCATTTTCGATTTTGGACAAACTTGACGTTTCAGGCATTGTGCAATTATATTGTACCATTTCTAATCATGATGATGCTTTCAAAGCGCAGTCTAGGTAGTATTCAAGCACAAATTGTATTGCAGTATGAGCGAGTTGGTGTCAGTCGTATTTGGTCAACAATGCTAATCTATTGGCTTGTGATATATGGTACTAGTTATGAATCAGTCGATCATGGACGATGTGAGTAGTTGCAACATACACGATATATTTGCAGTCATGAGCTAACTATTACACAAAACACTCTTAGATTGAGTTTTTGGACATTACAGCTGGAATCAAAAAAATGTACCGTGATGATGAGGATGATTTTGATTACATTTATCATCTCCCATATGCAGATCTTGATCGGATAGTCATTCGCGATCCATTCAAACCATCTCACCCTGTTCATTCTAAAACAAAATCAATTGGCAACTTATCCCTTACATCTCGCCATTCCATCAAAGCAATTCGTAGCACGCTAGATGTGAATGTTGGGAAACTGTCTGCATCGTATCGTGCAGCTATTGCTTCCCATAGCTCATTGAACCAATCCAAGTCCAGTTTATCCGATTTGACAACTGGTCAAACAAGCAGCTCAAACATGGTTTCAGATGTGGTGGATATCAATCTAAAAGGAACTTTAAGCATGATGAATAGCACTCTGGGATTGACGATGGATATGAGCCGATCGAGTTTGAAGAAATCGCATTTGACTGCTGGTGGATTGCTGAATCCAAATCAAAATGCACATATAATCAGATCAAAACGAGTCAGTGTAAGCAGCAACGAAACGAGTAGTCGCCAAAGTAAGATTGGTGGTAATATGGCAAATATTGACAATGGCAATTCCGAGTATCTTGGTGGTCTGCAGTATGGCAATGGTGAATTGATGGATATTTTTGAGGATGAATACAGTCGGGATGAAGCGATTCAAATGGATACTTTAGCCATGGTTAAGCCATTCAAAGCAATGCCTAGATGGTTGACTAACATCATGCGACCACAATGGATTGCTGGATTAGGCGCTTGTTTGGTGTTTGGGCTTACTGTTCATTCGTTGATTACAGCAGCAATATATCAACAGACACATTCGGTATAGGTTTAACTGCAGTCTTGGAATACACGAGTTTATTATAATTAAACCTAATTTGCAATGTTAGTTTTCAAGACTCGATGAGTTTTATTGATTTGACTCGAGTTTCCGAGTAAGATTGGTGAGCTACGTGAAGTTGACATTTGGATGCGATTTAAACTCGACAGTTATGCATCAGCAACTATATGCCATTAGTGGTGTGTTATTGATGATATTACTGTTTGTATCGCCAAATCAAATCCATTTTTCGCTTTAGTTGATGAAGATGTGTTGAAACTGGCATGCATATGCCTTGCATGGTTAACTGGATCAAAGTGCATCGAATGTGATTCAATTGCAATGTGTGTTGAATTATAATCGATACGGCTGTCATCTCAACCCAACAGAAATCCAATGAGCAGCAGCATGTCCATTAAACCTAGTTTCAATTGAGCCAACAAGTCATAATCACTTTACTAGCATCCAAAGTTAAAAGTTACTCGATCCATATTTTCACAGGACACGAGTTATTTTGCAGATTGCAGAGCGACTTGGAACACTTGGTAATTGCAATGAATTCTACAGAAACCATGTCAATCCAATTTGATACACAAGAGTTTACCGAGATTTATACCAGAGTTCAAAAACAAGGTCTGATTTGTCATTTTGTAAATCAGACTGTCAACGTTCTTGGTATCAAAGTCGGCGCTATTTATTGCCAGCTCTGAGCGGCGATATGAGTATTATGCCACTATACAACAATCGAGTTAGTGCATTGGGTACAGCTGATATAAACAAGATTGATTGAATGATTACAACATGGAGTATATTTTGCCTAGTCAACTCGATTTGAATCAGTCGTGTATACTATGATTGTTGACGACCATAAAGATTCAAGTCGAGATTTGATCCAAAACATCCAAAACGAGATCAGATTGTTAATTTAGCAAAAACTACAGCACTCAGTATTCCCGTGTGGTCCCCCACCACAGTACTGACTGAGCCATCACAAGCTTGACTTCGGAGATCGAACGGGATCCGGTATTTTCTTGTGTGTATGGCCGTAGATGTTGATTGAAACCAATTATACGGTAATATTCGTTAGGTGTGTTTGTCAAATACATTGTGGTTTGGTGTCAGCACTTGTAAATCAATACTGCATGACAGTCTTTTCAGGTCAACTCAAGACCATTTAAAACCATCTTTGGTTTATAATCCCTTCAAGAAAAATACCAATTATTATAATTAATTCTAGTTTATATATTTTGTGATAAACGGATGCAAAATAACTTGTGCAAGCATGCTACTTGCATGATTATACCACAATATCAGTCTAAATGACAAGTTAAATGGGTTTACAAGATATGATTTATTTGTTGTTACATTCAATTGTTGGTTTACTATTCGAGGTTTATCCTTGCATCATCTTTGAAGAAATATCTTCAATCGCTTTGGCAACTCGTGCACCATAATCTTTATCGGCTTGACTAAAGTTATGCACCATGCGCTCTTGAATGTCTTTGTTGCATACTGCAAGTGCTTTGCCAAGATTCATAATAAGCTCATCTCGTTCCCAATCTTCGAAACTCCTGTAAGTCTCGCCAGCTTGAGCAAACGGATTCGTACGATTAATAGGTGCGCGTCCAATCTTGGTTCCATCGGGTAAAACAGGCTCATGCACAGGTCCTGGATATACATTTGGCTGCTGCACAAGACCGTTGCGACTGGATGGCTCGTAGTTAATATGAGGATTCTCGCCTGCATCTGTACCGTCCACAAAGTATGTCATTGTACCGTCACGCTGATTGGTTGCCACCTTGTTCAAAGGTTTGTTGATTGGCAACTGTAAATAATTGACACCAAGACGATATCGTTGTGCATCACCATAACTGAACGTGCGACCTTGCAACATCTTGTCGTCCGAGAAATCCAATCCGTCAACCAAAACTCCTGTTCCAAATGCCGCCTGCTCTACCTCGGCATAGTAATTGACTGGGTTACGATCAAGAACCATACGTCCAACTGGAAGCATTGGCGCAATCGACTCTGGCCACAGTTTGGTATCGTCAAGAGGATCAAAATCCAATTCACTGTGCTCGTCATCTGTCAACAGTTGTACATTCAACTCCCATTCTGGATACTCGCCTCGCTTGATTGACCGATACAGATCATCTGTAGCATGGTTGAAGTCGTTGGATTGAACTGCATCAGCCTCGCTTTGCTTGAGGTTTTTGGTGCCTTGTTTGGAGATCCAGTGATATTTGACAAGGTGTGCCAAGCCTTCCTTGTTGACCCACTTGTATGTGTTGACACCACTGCCGTGCATGTGGCGATAGTCGGCAGGAATACCCCATGGCGAATTCAAAAATGTCAGCATATGAGTTGACTCGGGAGTTTGACTCATAAAGTCGAATACACGGTTTGGATCTTGAATGTTTGTGACTGGATCGGGTTTCAAACTGTGAACCATGTCGGGAAACTTGATGGAATCACGAATAAAAAACACCTTGAGATTGAGACCAACAAGATCCCAGTTACCGTCTTCGGTATAGAACTTGACTGCGAATCCACGGGGATCACGCAAGGTTTCGGGTGAAGTACCACCATGAATAACAGTAGAAAACCGTGTAAACACAGGTGTGCGCTTGCCTTTAGTGTCAAACAGCTTTGCTCTGGTGTACTTGCCAATCGTCTCGTTTCCAGCGCTTCCGTAGGCTTCAAAATATCCATGGGCACCGGCACCACGTCCATGCACAACTCGTTCTGGAATACGTTCACGAACAAAATGGGACATTTTCTCCTGAAAATGATAATCTTGCAGCATCAGAGGACCTCGACTTCCAGCAGATTTCGAGTTTTGATTGTCTGGAACTGCATGTCCTTGACGAGTAGTCAAACCAATGATGCCCATAGAAGAGTCATCCGTTTTACCGTTTATATCAAGAGATTTAATCATTGAAGATGGTGTAGTAGCTCCAGCAGGTGCTGGAGCAGCCGTACCCATACCCTGGTGTGGATTCGAACATGCCATTACCGCATAGGGACATATCATTGTGGCTTTGAGTAGATTTTAATCGGTAGTATTTGGAGATGGTCGACTTGGTCATGAAATGACTATTTATAAAAGTAATTTTGTCAATGTGTTTATTGTTTATGCGGATCAATTTCACACATGTAAGCAAGCGGAGTAAAATGATTACAACGGCACCTTGATAGACTAGTCAATTATTCCGGTTTGTTCAAAGCATGGCTTGATTTGTTGCATTTTTCTGCCCTATTGTCAGTCATGGTAGAGTTCAAAATAAACATCAATCCTTTGAATAACAAGTGACCACAGCTTAGCACGCTCTAATGCGATATTGAGGGCTAATGAAATAGTCTACATATGACTTTGAAGCATTTCTTGCCAACTACTCAGCAGAAACGCTGCTTGTTAATTAGGGCTGATGCATTCAGAATTTGCATAGCAATAAAAGCTTGCTGATTTTACTGCCAATCAAGATATGCTGATGGTAGTTTATCCATTGCTGCTTGCAAATACTCCACTCCAAGCATTGCTGAACTCAATGTCTGTACCCCACACTGTATAACTTGTTGGAAACGAGATTTGGTGTATTATGGTCAGGGCATACACGGAGTATCATCCCAACATACAAAATGTTATATTCCTTGTTTATGCGGTTAAATATTGGCATGTTTATGGCTAATGGGGTTTAAAAAACCAGACAACTGTTTATGAGTCAGTCTTGTATAAGCAGACACTGACTTTAGAAATGCAGCACTGTTGCACATCAATTCGCAAAAGTACTAGTCAATGCCGTTGATATGGCTTTTATCCACCTTTGTTTTCAGATGAATAGAATGCTTGATTGTATATCCAGTGTCATTCCAACACTCGGAAAGACTAAAAACATGATATAAAAGTAGAGACTAGCATTTAGCTTGACACGAATTGAATGTTTAGTCGATCATTGTAGAGCTTAAACTAGTGTTCAATCAAGTAGATTGGCGTTTGTATTTCAGATCTGTCCATGACAATAGCATTGGTTTATTAGCGTACATTGTGGTTTGGTTGTGACTGATCCAAAGACGGCAACAATTAGATTTTTCCATTGGTCGATTAAATACTCGTTGATGTGTCTAATCATTACATTGTATTCATATGAATAAATTGTGCTGTATCCAATGTAATGAAATAAGATGAACCTGAATCAATATCTGCCATTTGCTAACATTGACCAGTTCACTGACTTGTGGTGTCATCACGGCTGGTGACAAAAGATGAGAATGGAGTGATGAATGAAAAATACCAGCAATTATCAGTATGTATCATTTGAGGCGGTACTTGCATAAATCTATTACTCAAACTATAACTTATGGACTCGAATACAAATCTGTATGGTGTCATAGATATACTGTCGAGTATCAATAATGAATGCTTGTACTTTTATCTATGACTCGTCACCAAAAGCACGAAATGAATAGGCTTTGTACTGATATACCTTTAAACGTGGTTCATTTCACATGGATATGGCTGTAATACATTTGAACGTGTCTTGCATTTATCTTGGAGTGATTTTGCTTCGGAATAATCAATAGTTGGATACTCATTACGCTTTTCTACTAGATATTGCTGTGTTGAACGGTTGATATATCATGTTAATCTGTAGTTTTTCCAAGGAGTTTAAAAGCACCTGTCCATTAAATTTGGTGATCATCGTTTTATGGGACTGTCTGTTTATTATGTATTTTGGCATCCACATTAATATTTCATTGACGTAAATACGGCTGTAATTGAAATCAGTGCTCAGCGATTGGATTGGCATGGATTGTGACCGAGTTAATCTTTATATCCTGATTTGGTCGGTGATTTCCATCAACAGGAACAGATTCCAGAGAGTCCAATGTATCCAATCCATCAATGATTCTAAAAGAAATAAAAATCAGTATATATAGTAAGCACAATGTTGATCACGTATGACTTGATTTGGAATCAAACTAGACAGTTTTAATTGCGAGCGACTTACTTTCCAAACACAGTGTATTTTGAATCCAAGTGTGACTGTTTTGAGTATGTGATGAAAAACTGAGATCCATTTGCATCTGCTCCTTTGCTCGCCATGGACACGATACCGCGAGTGTTGTGCTAATACAGAATCAAGCAGGTTAATTCATCAGAACCCAATGCATGGGTTCTAGAGTATGTAGCAAAGTCTTACTCGAAGAGTTGATTTTATTTCATCTGCAAACTTTCCGCCCCAAATTGAAGTACCTCCTTTTCCAGTATTTGTGGGATCACCAGTCTAACATCTCAGATATTACCAAACAAGAAGTCAGTTGATCATTCAAGCCAGTTTAAATGCAATTTCATGCAATTACCTGAACCATGAATCCTTTAATGTTACGATGAAAAACACATCCATTATAGTATCCACTTGCACACAAGGCCAGAAAATTCTAATTCAAGTAGGATGAAAACAATTAACTTTGAATATCGCCTGTTAATGTATACAATGAAATGAGAGTACTTCGGCAGCCTTGGGTGTAGCTTCGCAAAAAACTAGATTGGATTTCAAAGAGGGGATTATTTGCATATTTAGAAACCACACTATTATCGATATCTACAACTACACTCCTGCACTCATTCATAGCAATATGCAATGCTACTCTTATAGACTATGTATTTGACAAATGCATGTACCTTCTATCTTGAGGTCCCCAAGATCAGTGTGCAGTGTGACAGACTGGTGCAGAGATCAAGTGCAATGTGTTAGTTGGGATTAGACGATTTATAAAAGATTCGCTGTGTATGCACAAGTAAATTAATATGCGATACACCAGATATGAATTGTCCCCATAAATCAACTATAATCCATTTGCTTTAATCTACCATTTTGGTTTGACGAGTTTGTATCAGAAATTCTGCAATCCTCAATGTTGAGTTTACTATCACGTGACACAACTCACATTTGCATCAAAATTTAATCGAAAAACAAGGTATTTGTATATAGTTCATTCTGTGTATTGAGTAAATTGTATTTGAAAACCAAAAAGTTTTGAATAAAATTAAGCATTGTCTAAAAAACTGACTCATACATACATAGCTATAGCAAACGAGATCTCACCAGAAGTTTAATAAGGGTATGCTAAACACATTAAATCAAGAGTATGAATTTTAGCGCATTTTTTAAATAGAATGCTCAAAGATACATCTTACCTGCACGTCGTCGAGATCCACCAACAGTTCGTAGTTCTCGTCGAATTCGTCTATAAATACAAAATAGTATAAGCATCTGTTGTGCATGATGATCCAAGTAACAACTAACCTTAAACCACGACCTCCTTTTAAATCGGCGTCTTCATCATCTGTGCGATTCTGGTACGCATCAATGCTTGGACTCCATCCCCGTGCCTCTTCCTCGGCACGAAACGGTTTTTCAATAGCAAATGAAGGATCAAGCACTCCACTGCGTTTGTACCGGAATATTTGTTCTCGGATACTAACGCACGGATAAAAATAAACTTTAATACCATTCGTAAGCTCAATAAACATGAACAAGCAGCCTTACCTAAATGCAATCATTTGAGCAAATTCACCACCAAGTCGCAAATCCTGCACCATGATTTGGGCAAATCTTTCTGGTGACATACTCGACGCCAAATCCCATTCAAACCGATCTCGTAGTTGCATTTTTCCTACCTTTAGATTCAACTAAATATAGAAAATTCAAAACAAAACAAAATGTACCAAATACAAATATTGCATGAGAACATGCCATCAAAATAAACTTGAATATCAATCAGACATCTACACACTTTTATGGGAACGCGAGAATCTTCAGGAATCACATCATCTGTCGATTCCATGATCTTGCGGTGATCTTCCAACTGTGCATTGATTCGACCAGCAATCAATGAACCAAATGCTGCTATATTAAGATCAAGATCTAAACACATGTATTCAGCAAACTTTTCAGGAGTCATTGCCGTTTCTATAAATCAACCAAAACATGGCGTTAAAATCAACTCTTGAAAAATACATGCCAAGTCAAGTATGTCGTATCAATTCTATACCATTCAAATTCCACGTGAACGCATCGCAAACACGATATCCATCTACTTCAAAATCAACCTTGATTGGAACAAGCAGTTCTGATGTTGAACAAAACGGCTCCAATTTATACCAGTTACTAATCAGAGTACAGTCCAAAACATGTTAGTTACAATTATGTTGTCAAGCTTGACAAGACATCCCATTTCAGACCATGCATCAGAATAAACATGATAAATTTACAGTTTCGTATAGTCATGATTCGTTTGACGCAGCTTACGACGATGCTGTAGATTTTTGAGTGAATCTGCAGGTGACACAGCAGAAACAGATGTTGGAATGGTAGACTTTCCAACAAATCGTTTATCGTTGGTTTTGCTATTTCGCCTCCGATTATATCCCTCATCGCCATCATTATCTTCATCGTCTTCTTCTTCGTCAGTAGATGCCTCGGCCCATATACTTTTTTTTCTTTTTGTTTCAGTAATGATATGTATTAGTCCGGTTTCCCCAGTCTTTAGTCGCGGCATGTAAGTATTTACTGAGGGTAAAAGTGGGGGAAGATCAGATTGTTGATTCCTTTTCTGAGATTGTGCAGCCTGTTGAATTAGCAAAGCTTGCTGCCTTTTTTGCTGAAGCTGTACAAGTTGCTGATTATGTTGCTGTTTAGCAATAGCTTGTTGTATCATGGACTGTTGTTGCTGTTCAGTGATTTGCATACGATTTCGTTGTTGAATCAGTCGCTGTTCAGCAATGTATCGATGCTGAGCTCTTACAGAGGAGGGTTTAGCTGGCTTGGATATACTAGTGCTTGTTCGCCTGGCTTCTAACTGCTGCTGATTGAATGCGCCGAGTACATTAGGATCTTGCTGATGCAATAATGTATTTGAATTAACCGCAGAGGAAGAATCCGAAACTGACGTAGAAGCCGACGCGGAAAATGGTGTAGATATGTTAGTTGTAGAAGTCAACGAACCGGCATGTGTAGCATTGTTTGACTGCTGCAACTGTAGACGTTGCGATTGTAATAGTGGTGTACTTGATACTGCCTGGATCTGCTGTTGAAGTTGCTGTGATGTTTGAAACTGAGACTGTTGTTGGAGTTGCATACGTTGAAATTGTTGAAATTGCTGCATTTGCTGTAAACGCTGCTGATACTGAAGCATGGCAACTGCGTTGGATTGAGCAGTAGTTCCAGTAGATACGATAGACTGACCAGATACATGAGATGAATTTACCCCTGAATTAGAGGCAATCGCAGATTCATTTTCACTTTTTACAGTAAATAAAGGAGCAGCAAGATTATCGACCAATCCAGCACTACTAGAAGGAGAATTAGCGAATTTGGAATCAAATGACCCCAACGTAGGAGTAGAAGCCATGATGGCAGCAGAGGAATGTGATGGAGCAGAAGTAGACGCAGTCATCATATTCAAAGCAATGGAGGTAGTTTGTTCAGGCGAGATCAAGGCCGATGCGTAATTAGGAGTATTTGATGGCAGAGTGGTTGCGTTGACAATACCATTATTATGATGGTTTCCAGATGTCATTACAGCCGCTTGTTGCAATTTCCAAGCTTGCATCTGCTGCAACTGTTGGAGTTGCTGCTGTTGCAGCATTGGAGCAGATTGGAGTGATTGATTTGCTACAGATTGGATTAAAGACATATTAGATCCAGACAAGTTGGACATTGATGGTGCAGAGGATTGGTTTGCCAAAGCATTCAATTGAGAAGATGAGATCACGGATGCCATTGGCATATTATTCTGAAACTGGAGTTGTTGCAGCTGTTTCTGGTGTTGAAGCTGTTGCCGTAACTGCTGCTGCTTGAAATCCGAATTATTTGCCGAAATCGGAGTCTGTGAAAATGAACCAGGACTAGTAAGGCCCAATCGCTGTTGCATCTGCTGAAGCTGCTGTTGCTGCTGAAAAAGCAGTTGCATTTGAAGTTGCTGTTGATTCAATTGGTTAGTATTGATATGACTGAGAGTCGTGGCAGGAGTAGAAAAGGACTGGCCAAAGCCTGCATGAGGATTTGAATTTGTGTTATTGCTGGCGACGCTTAATGAATTAGTAAAAGCAGTCGAGGATTGCACAGGAACAGACATGGAAGTCCTGTTAACAAAGCCTTGATGAATACGATTAGAGTTTCCATTTGACATTGATGTAGGAAGAGCAGATGGAGAGTTCATAGTGCCAGCAGTGGATGGATTTGAAGAAACTGGAAGAGAATGAGTGTAGCTGTTATTGATGGTTGTATTGGAAAGTCCAGTAGTAGATGTATTTGATGGGTTAATAGGATTAAATCCCAATCCAGTAGTAGATGTATCCAATGTGTTGATAGGATTGAATCCCAATCCAGTAGTAGATGTATTTGATGGGTTAATAGGATTGAATCCCAATCCAGTAGGAATAAATGAAGTGTTGGATTGAGTCCTGGACACCTGCTGTGACTGATTCCTGGACATCTGCTGCTGCAGTAATTGATACTGCTGCAGGTTATTCATGTTGCTCATGCTACGGATCTACCAACAATATCCAACCGTTTGCTTCCAACTGTGCTCGACTTTTCGTTCAACTCGACAAAAACCAAAACTCAATCTTTCGATCTTGGCCAGTTTCACGTCGTATCAAGTCTTTTAAACTCTGGTGTCTTGAACAGCATGCGCTAGTAGATCCTACTCACATTCACTGGCATCTTGTAGTTCCAACTGTCGTGCTGTCGTCGTTACCGTCGCGATGATGATCGGACTCGCTCTTTCTACTGACAGTCAGTCACGTGTAATTCGCTTGAGCAATTTATCGGATTTTTATTTCAGAATCGTGATATTACAACTGCTCTGAATCATAGATATTTTATCAGTTGAATGTTCAAACCATCGAGTCTGCATCAATTACTGCGTAAAACATATAAATATTCAACTGCTTTTAAAACATCCTTTTCTTTACCGCCATATCTATCGACTAGACTGCCATGTATCTGTCATTCCACTTTACTCGCCCATTCAAGATTCTCCACATCTGCAAAAGCTGCCAACAGTTGTGATCCTATAATCGAAAAGGTATCATTCAATCATTTGCATTTGTTTTTGAATTACAGGGCTAATTGGATTGCTTTTGTTTGGAATAATAACTCAAGCTTCCAATTCCATCGCTTGTCGATTTCCCTCCTGAAAGAATCAGAAATTTCAGTATTATCGCTCATATAGGTATGATGAGTCGGGTTTAATGTCATTCAAGTGTTGTGGGTCGAGAAATATTTGTATCACCCTCTTCAATATACGTATACAATACCATCTCATTTTCCTTGTCAATCCTATTATGCAGATCATGGAAAAAGCACATTGGCAGATAGATTACTGGAACTTTCGGGAACCATTTCTGCTGCAGATTCAAACAAGCAGGTTTTGGATAAGCTCAAGGTTGAGAGAAATCGTGGAATTACCATCAAAGCACAAACGGCATCCATGTTTTATACATACAAGAATGAAGTTTATCTCTTGAATCTCATTGATACTCCAGGACACGTTGATTTTAGTTATGAAGTGTCACGATCTCTTGCTGCATGTCAGGGGTACGCTTGACCTACTTCAATCTGCATTGGCCATTTGATTTAAATTAATGTCTTATGCTTACTTGCAAAACATTTCTTGATACTCGTAATAGAACGCTTTTACTGGTGGATGCCAGTCAGGGTATTCAAGCCCAAACCATTGCCAACTTTTACTTGGCATTTGGGGAAGATCTTGTCATTCTTCCTGTTCTCAACAAGGCATGCTTTATTGATTCCATTATGCTAATAGTGTTTTATTTGCTAACGATTGATTAAACTGTAACATGCCAGATTGATCTTCCTACTGCAGATCCTGAGCGAATTGCAAATCAGATTGAATCTACGTTTGAATTGGATACATCTCTTACTCGTCATATTTCAGCAAAAACTGGAAAGGGAGTGCCAGATCTGTTTGTTGATGTCATTGAGCGCATTCCGCATCCAACTGGAGATGTGAATAAGCCTTTTAAAGCACTCTTGTTTGATACTTGGTACGATCAATATGCAGGAGTTGTGTGTCTGATTGCAGTGCGTGATGGCTCAGTCAAAAAAGGAGATCGAATTACGTCTGCCCACACCAAATTCCATCATGATGTTACTGATGTGGGAATCATGTATCCCAACCCAACATCAACCGATCAGCTGTCGGCAGGTCATGTAGGATACATCACCATGAATATGAAAACCACCCACGATGCTCATATTGGTGATACATTTTACCATGGCCATGCACCGACTGACATTTTCAAAGGATTTCATCCAGCACAGAGTATGGTTTTTGCCGGTCTCTATCCAGTCGATACAAACGACTATACAAAACTGGCTGAATCAATCGATCGATTGACTCTGAATGATGCATCGGTGACCGTGGCAAAAGAAACCAGTACATCATTGGGTCAGGGATTTCGACTTGGATTTCTAGGAACATTGCATATGGATGTATTTCGTGAACGATTAGAGGAAGAACACGGAAGCTCTGTGATCAATACGGCACCTACAGTACCATATATCATTCGAAATAAGGATGGAACCGAGACTCGTGTTCAAAATCCAGCAGATTTTCCAACAAACGATCAAATGGCAAAAGTTGATGCGTTATTAGAGCCCATGATTATTGGAACATTAGTATTTCCCTCTGAATATGTTGGAAAACTGGTTGAGCTATGCACGGTTAGTTGTTGCTTTGTATACGATCATGTTTGCAATCATGTCATGAATACTTATATAATTTATATGGACATTTCAGAGTCATCGAGGCACACAAGTTGAATATAATTTTATTGATGATACACGGTACATTTTTGTTGGCAATTGAATATGCATCTACTTTTATTATCACAATTGGTTTTTCAAATGCTGTAGTGCTTTGACATTTTACTAATGTCATGTTTATTCAACGCGCAGGGTGATGATCAAATACCGTCTTCCAATGTCAGAAATCCTTTCACAGTTTTACGATAAACTCAAATCTATTTCATCTGGATACGCAAGGTAAGCAAGCATTTATAGTATGTTTTGAAAAATCCAATTGTTATTTGATAGTTATTCAACAGTTGTTATATTCCATTTTGATACTATTCAACCACAGCTTTGATTATGAGGATGCAGGATATGACAAGGCAGATTTGGTCAAGGTGAGTATTTTACTCAATTCCAAGCCAGTTGATGCACTTGCGACGATTGTGCACCGATCACAGGCAGAACATGTTGCTAAAGACTGGGTGCGACGACTCAAGAATATTTTAAAAAAGTAAATATGAAGCTTGATATTATACCTTGTGATTTAATACTGACGAGATTGTGTTTAATATTTCCAGACAATTGTTTGAGATTGTCATTCAGTCATCTGCGAATGGTAAGATTATAGCACGAGAAACCATTACAGCGGCACGTAAAGATGTGACAGCCAAATGTGTAAGTTGAATTAGTTTATTGCTAGTTATGGATTGAAACGATACTGACCGTGTCTTGATGGGATTGTAGTACGGAGGAGATATCACACGCAAGATGAAGTTGTTGGATAAGCAAAAGGAAGGCAAGAAACGTATGAAGACTGTAGCGGGCGGAGTGGAGTTACCACAAGAAGCGTTTCTAACACTCATGAAAGGAGATGACAACAATCAAGGGAAGAAGAGAAGATAGAAACGAATAAATACTTTCAAGTTGAATATACGATTTCCAACGTTGACTATCATGTCAGTTGGTTATGCATTTAATGCTAGACGCAAGTTGGGTCGTGCATGTGAGAATGCATTTAGGAATGTATCAGTGAATGCATTTGGGAATACATTTGTATGTAAACTGTCGACTCTTGAAACCACTGCAGTCGTCACTCCAACTGTGTTGTTCATAGGCTGGCGACCATCCATCACAACTCATTCCATATCATCAAATCCCATTCAAGCAAGACTCCATTCATATTACTTGAATGGGATTTCATTACAGAATACACTGAGACACAGTACTGTTCCTTGTGCTACTATCAAGCCATATACAAGACTCGAGCATGTCGCTAGACTGGTCAGCAGTGCTACCAATCGCTATGAATATTCCGAGTTGGTCAGCAACAAACCTGCTCCGCTGTTTGGTCCCATCTTGTTTGTTGCTGGCTTCTTGGCAACTACACTTGGACTGTGTGTGTATAGTGAAGCCAAGATGCATTGGGACAATAGAATAGAGTTGAGCGAGGCATTCAGTCTACAGAAAGTAGTAGGATCGTCTACTTCAGGTGTGTTTTACTTTCCTACTAGATCACACATGAATGATCATTATCGACCACCACTGCCTTCTTCTATTCAAACTTCTCGCTCCAAAGAATCACTGGCTCAATCTAGTATCGTCAATCAATACATTCCTCCTATTCTTGGCAATATTTACACCATGGCAAAGCACAGATACGATCGTATGACATTGGGAGAGTCTCATACTTGGACATTGATTGCATGCAACCTTGCCGTCTTTTTTCTCTGGCGTTTACCTCCACTCGGTCATTTTATGAACAGGAATTTCGTTCATCACTCTCATAGTCGTCGCATCTATACCATGGTTACAAGTGCATTCAGTCAAAAAGGAGTCGCACATTTAGCTTTCAACATGTTCGCTTTGAATAGTTTTTTTATATCGATGCATTATTTGCATCCAATGACCCACCAAGAAGCTATTGCCTTTTATCTGTCCACCGCCGCGTTATCCTCGTTGGGATCGCAGGTGTTTATGAGATTATCAAAAAACACTACTATGAGATCAAGTCTTGGATCAAGCGGCGTTGTCTGGGCTATTGTTGCTTTGTAAGTTGATGTATACACTCTAGACACTAATGCATACACATCAATAACTCTTGACTACTATAATGTTAAACTCAGTGTTGCCTACCAACGACCCGAATCACAAGCAGGAATCATTTTTATTCCTGGTGTCGAAATGCCGCTTGGAACCCTTGTATCTGGGTTTATTCTTTTGGATCTTGCTGGGTTACTTATGAAATGGAAACAGTTTGATCATGCTGCACATTTAAGCGGTGCACTGGCTGGATACCTCTATTCAAAATATGGATCTACATTATGGAGTGATTGTCAACGATACATTCTACAAAAATGGGTAAACGATTTAAAAAAGGTTCAAATTTCTAAAAATAAAAAATAACTCGAATATCAAATTGACTTGATTTGGGGTTCAATCCGTATCTAATACCAAACGGCAAATCAATGAAATTCAAAATTGATGAAATTTAAATCCATTGAATTTAAAATTATCAATAACATGTCAATTGCTCGACAAGCAATCCGTCTTGTATCAAGAAAACTTGAGCATCAACATCATGTGTGTATCCAACCATCAACTCCCATACTCCGAATATACACTATTCAATATCGGTCAATGACTTCCACTCTGCAACCCAAACAAACTCCAACATCGGATTTTGATAGTTTACAGAATAAGGTCGTTCATAAAGCCAATATTGAGATCAGTGCTGCATCAACTCCAACTCCCACAATCGATATAAACTCTATTGATGCATCCACTCCAACCCTTCGTCAACCACCAGTGTTTAAAGGAACAGTGTAAGCCATTGAGTGAATATTGAACTCGGTTGAATCACTGCTTATTTGCATGATTGAAATGATAGGAATCTGTTGGATAGACTGGATTCTCAACGATCTAAACGACGAGAAGCGATCGAGCATGCTAAACAGGCACAGAAATTACTCGATGCACAACGGAAAAGTAAACCGCTAAGTCAACGCACTCCAATGGATTTCATCAACCAGGATGAAAATACTCGGGATAGAGAAAAACTGGTCAAGGAGGCTTTTTCAGGTGGATACTGGAAAGATTTACGTGAAGTCTCGAGAAAAGGTGCCAAACTATGGGAAGCACCTGAAAAAATCCGATCTGGACAGGTAATTCAGTATTGATTCATGCACCATATAATTGCTGTTTTAACCCAAATCAAGTGATTAGTATTCCCATCTAGTACCCAACGTGTCTGGAACATTGATGAATGGCGAAAAAACGGACATCATGTCCTATGTATCAAGGCATAAAGTCACCTTGGTAGTGTTTTTCTTTAATGCTTTTGGCGAGGTACATCAACCCTTTGACATCTTGAATCTATTGTACATGTCTGTTCAAGTTACATCTGTATTCTTATGCTGACTTGTTTTGAATCCATTGTTTGCACGATATAGCAACAAACACGATCGTTTGTCAACCCTTTTATGCAGGAATTCAAAACTCACTCTGATATAGATCTGTTGATTGTCAATGTAGAGGAAAAGCTTTTCAGAGCACCCGTGCTATGGCTTTCGCGACCCTATGTCAAATGGAATGTTCCAAAAGAATTACGACAAAGATATATGATTCATTATGGCGATATGAAAGATAAACGAACAGAGTGTGGTATGGTAAATACTGTTCTTGGATGGGTGAATTTAGTCGATTCTTCTGGAAAAATTCGATGGCAGGCACATGGTGAAGCCACACCCAAAGAACTTGCAGCAGTCTCAAATCTGGCTAAAACCATGCTACACATTTTGTAAAAGAACCATTGAACTAAGATGGCGAATAAACTGTCTGGAATACATTCAAGTCGTTTCCAAGCAAAGCAAAAACATCCTTCATTATCGTCATATCCACATAAAATGAAACACTAAACAAGAGTCAGTATAATCAACAGTTTTGTAGATTGAAACTACACTGCCCATTCTTGAACCCGATGGAAATAATTTAATCATAACGACCTTGTCAAACAATTCTAGACACCAAATACTGAGACTATCAGCCAAAGTAATCCATATCCAACAGGTGTAATGAATAGTTGACTATTGTTTATTCACGAGAAAAAATCATTGCAAGATAAATACACGAAATGTTCCATTTTATACGAATACGACTGTAAATGCATGATCTGCCCTTGCACTTTTTAATTTGCATGCATAGAGGGCAATGTACAACAATGAAACCAGATAGTTTCCAAAAAACAATACATATCCAAATATAGTCATTGGATAGGTTCAGACTTGGAGGAGCGTGATATTACAAGATGGTGCATCTTTTGCTCGACTTTCTTCTTGGGGGCGGCTCGACTACAAACGGGTAGGCAGCTTGGAGTACCGGGAAATCCGGTATACATAATTCGTAAAACACCATATAGGCATTTAGGCTGGCATGGTTGAATGCATTGGCTATGGCTTGTTGGGTTGACAATACCTTGACCCTTCCTGAAATCATATTATCGTCAAAATGCAGCCAATGCATAGACTCTGGGAGCACTTCAGATTTTGAATTGAAGGAAGGTGTGGATGGCGCGCAGGACAAGGACCGAGACAGTGATGTGGGTCCCAGTCGTGGTTTAGTACCGTTGGATCGCATTGTTGATTTAGTGGAAAAGGACTCAAAAGTACTGGATCGTCCTAGCTCGTTTAAAAGGGTTTCAACTTTGATCGTGTCACTTGAATCTAGACTTGTGGATGACAAGGACGCTGACATGGTGGGCAAAGAGCCTACAGTCATGGGGGTACCAAGAGATTCCAAAACATTCATGGGTTCTCCAAGTGTGTGTTCCCCTGTTGCCGCACAACCAGGTCGTTTAGAAACAATGGATGTGTAGTGGCCACTTCGTGGTCCATTACCTTCATGGCATAATATGCTTCTCAATCTTAAACAGTAGTTTCTATTCACTCCCAGATGATCTTGTTTACCCGTTCCCGTAGGATTAGCATTATGCACAATAAAATCCCCAAACGGAATCTCGGTGGGGATATATACCCTACGACCAATACGAACAGTCTGACCCGATCTCACATCATACGAAAACCGTTTGATCATAAATGGAATAGTGATGGGCCGGGTTTGTGATTGAGGAATATTGCGAGATGGATCACCCGTTTCACATTCTGGGGTAAGAAAGGGGAGAACACGACTGGATTGCCAAGCCTCGATATGCTTCAAATGAGTAGGTCGTGATCCCGATTCAAGGTGCGAAGCATCATTGGATAAAGTATGCTCAGCATTTGTGGACGAGGTGGAGTCTAAAGATGATTCAGATCGACGCTTAATTTGAACCATATCTAAAAGAATAAAACATTTTGAAATGAGTATATTGGCAAAGTTCAAGTGGCAAGCAATTTATAAACTTACTGCTAAAGAAATGGTCTTCCAACATATCTTCTAGTAACACACTAACGTGCGATACAGTGCTTGGAATGCTCAATTGAATAATTCGTTCCGTAAAGATCCTCAAGTCGTCGCAGGAAGAATGTGCACCATGAAAGATTTCAGATTGCAAGGGTAAAAAAGGAGCTCCTAGTGTGTTCATCAAGAATAGAAACAGCTCACTTGTATCTTGTTGTAGACCCACCTATGAGTGGATGAATGCAAGATTAGCCTATGCAGTTTGAAAAGTCAGGACTATTGATGGCAGCCGATAAAGCTTATTGATAGTCGGATATGTATTAATTAGACTAGCATACATTATCCTTGTTTTCTCCAAACCATCCTAGCTCGGCAAGTGCCTTTCGAAAACGCGCAACGTATATTTTATCGACCAATTGTCCTTTTCTCTAGCAACCAATAGAGTTGGAGCATGAGTTCGAATGCATCTCAAACTAGTTGATTAAAATGCAGTTAAAACGGATGTACAAGCCAGACTTACCAACCGATTAACTATCAATCGAATACTATATAATGATTGTACAAGATGATTAGTTGGATTATAAAGTAGAAGAATGCACAATAGATCATATTGAATACCTTGATTCCAAAGAGAACCGCAAAAATCGTTTCATACTGTAATCCATTTCATCACCGGTATCCAAGGTAGGAGCATCCATCAAGCCATCAAATGCAGTCCCGCATGCAAACATGGCAAACAGCAGTGCATCTAAAACAAAAAGTATTTAGTGTATGAATTGCAGCTTATTGATCGAGTGTAAATGAGGCTTATATCAAAAGTTGATTCAATTATTCTATTGGCTGTAAAAAGGGTCTCGTTTAATGCTCCAGCACTACATACCGATATAACAACTAAATAGTGGTAGAATCACAGGATTAACTTTTTAATGCATAGCCAGATATCATACATTTGACTGACTCACCTGTTTCCAATATTGACCATTCCCAGGGAAGCTGGTGCAGACTGTGGACCAAAAGGTGGCGGAACAATAGTACCCTCGATGGCATCTTTGATATCATTCAAGAATTGAATTGCATGATTAGAGGGTAGAGTCCTAAGGTTTCTGAATTCACTCATACTCAGTATGATGTGAGGGTTATCGTCCAAAAACGAGCGCAGTCGAGCATCCTATTCCGAAATCAAAGCAAATCAATCAATACCAAACAATACAAAACGTGGAGTTGGTTTAAGCAAGTTGCTATTAGAGTAATGATTAACACTAGCCAAGGTTTGTGAGTTGATGCAAATAGCTGAATGAGAGCAAGTTGTAATGATGTCCAAATCATGGAAACAGTATAACAAGACTCTTTGAAATAGTGAATTCAGACCAATGCATGTACTACGCAACCCAATGAAAGGCGTAATACCTTTTCTTGTTCCTCTTCCGAGTGGTCAGGGTACATTGGCGGAGGAGGCTGATTAGCATGAACCGACAAGTCATTCATTGCAGCACCACTAACATAGTTGAGTTTCTGAATAGCAGCAGTAGATTTACTCTTTGTAGAGATGGCATTGACGGCAGAAAGGGTCATGATGAATGGTCGGATGCGATTCAATCAATTGAATGACTTGTAGATAACCAGAGTTTCCCTAATTGCATGCCGAGTCACGGGTTTTGTCGGATTCTATTCGCTTCAATCAGCAAAGTACTTTGTAGCAAACGCCATGTGTTGGAAAACTATTCAACAAGTTGAAATCAAACAAGTTGAATCATCAAATGGTTGAACCATCAAATGGTTGACAAGGCAGTAAAACAGTCGATAATAATCCTGAAATTTATTATTGCTTTGCACAGGAAACGACTCGGTTCAAATTGACGAGGTGTAGGATTTTTACCGCCGGATTCACGTAAATAGAACACTAAACAAGTACCAACATACAAGTCTCATGAAACACAAGTGCCAGTTTACTAGAAAGTTATGTCTTTAGATTCGTTGATGGGGTTTGAATCAGAGTTGAAGATTGATTTTGGCTGCAGTGTGAACATTTTAATTTTTTATGCAAAATGAACAAATGCCAATAGGATAGGATTGAACTAGTCGAATCTAATATTTGAATTGCAATACATGAATTTGGTTATTGTACAATGTATCAAGATACTAAAAGTCAAGGCTTGATTTTGTGAGCATCGTACAATGGACGTTGTGTTTATTAAATACTCTAATAGGAAAGCACAAGGAATATTTAACCACTATTTATTCCAAAGCAAAATCAAAGTCTGCAAAAGAATACAAAAGTTGGATTTCACATAAATACGACTATAGTGGGAATGACCGAGACCGTCAAGGTCAAATGAGGCAGAGCAGCGTTTAAACAGATATGATGGGTTGAGGCAATTGTCACCTCGTGAGCACAAAACGAGATTAGATGGTTACATTCAAGGCATACCAATCCTAGAATCCTCAAAACACAAGGGGTTGCAACAAAATCAAAGCAAATATCTCGTCAAAGGGTTAGTTGATCTAGGGACCAAATCCGTGACCAATTGCAAGACTGCGGATATGCTTACCAATGCGGTGAGTCGATGGGTGTTGAAATCTTGGAGGGCATCCAAAGTATATGCTGGGGTTTAAAGGATAATTTGCTTGTTATTACTAGAGCCGTGTTCACGTGAAATGATTCATTGAATAGGAATGCCAAAGTATAGTAAGCAACCAGTCTCATGACAATTCCACTCAATTTACCGGACAAGTATTCTCTATAATCTATTGATCTTTCTCGTCCATTCTCATTCTGTAAGAAAAACTGAGCAAATGTTCAAAGCAGCATTTACATCTCAAACCCTTGGCGCTTATTCAATCACCAACTCTCCCTTCATTCCAACAGAGCATTACAAGTAAACATTCAGTGAATGGCATGTGTAGTTGCATTCCTGAGACTGCAATCTTTGTGCTTTTAAACTAGAGCGCGACCATATTAAAGTTGGAATACAGAATGAGTTTCAAGACAGTTGAACTCAATATCTGAATTGCACGGATGAATCTGACGATTGTACAATGTATGACTATGCCAAACAATTCAAACCTATAGTTTGTTCTATATGATGGACGTCCATCATACAGAATAATTAATTTCTATTAGGAAAGCACAGCGAGTGTTTAAACATTGTTTATTCCAAAGCAAACCAGTCATTGTAAGATAAATACAAGTGGTCCATTTTACGTGAATACGGCTGGAAAATATACTGCCACAGGGCTTTTTCTAGCCATTCGTCCCTATACAGCATGGTAACTGGATGAGAACTACAAGGGGTGTTTTAGTTTTCTTGTATAGATGAGTATGAATGCACCCACACCAAGCATCGCATCCGTTTAGATCTGTTTTTCACAATTCAATGCTGAATCAAGACTGATCAAGATTCAAATAGTCGATTGTTTTTGTAATTTGGATTGACTACCAAAAACTGTCCAAGTTGGTGCCGACTGCAATTGAATATTTAAAACTTGCTCGTGGTGATTGATTCCAATGTAGGCAGCAATACAATGACGATCGATCGGTTTCCTTCAAACTGTTTACCTTGACCTACACAAGAATCCTCCAATTCATGTGCTTCTCTGAGCCTACTCATACCATTTGATGAGGGGTGTTGAATTGATGCGCCAATTTGAATGGTCACTTTATGCATGCAGAATCCGACCCTCAGTTTTTTATTCAAGCCAGACATGTTTCTTTTCTTTTCTATATAATATCACATTGATCGTCTAACCTTTTTATTTTCTATTTGCATCGTTGTTTTGGCTTGGATTGTTGTTTTGGCTTGGATTGTTGTTTTCGCTTGCTGTTGTGCGGTTCCTCAAGCTGTCGTTATAAAGGCGATTGTAAACCTTGGTGTTCCCAATTGCAAGTCAATAGCTATTGTCTTGGTTCTCAATACTGCGACCGCAATCTATTGCCCTGATTGTTAAATCACATTGCGCTTGTTACTAGACATTCCTCTCCCTGATATCATCTTCAGAGCTTTCATCTTCTTTAGGCTTCATTGCTATACCAAGACTCTGTAAACTTACTCGACTCGGGGGTTCAACTAACCAATCGACAGTGAGTTGCTTATATTCTATTCGAAGCGTGTCCGATTGCTGGCTGAGTTGCTCTGTAGAAACATTTGTTGATATTGATGTTGTCTAATTGTTCATCAATCCTGCCACCTTTGTCATTCTGTTTTATTCTATAATAGCTCTTGGCAATTGTCTGCTCATCATGACACACCCAATACTTGATCCAGAGGTCTTGCAATCACAGTACCTTGTCTTGTTTCAAAAAGAAAACCTTGTTCATCTTCAACCCACTCCTGGGTTTCTACAGCGAACTCAGGCTGGATATATTTCCATTGACCAGCGAAGGTACATATTTAAACATGTCGTTTCATTCAATCGGTGAATTGGCCTTTTTGGCGTCCGAAACATTTCACTATTCTGTCAAATAGTAAATGACTTACAATCTATCTTGTACTACTCTTACCTTGTTCAACTCTGTTTTAGAGAGCTTGTAGATTGGATCCATCAGGTAAGCTACTCAATCATGGTATTATTTTATTTGATCCTTTTAATCTTTGCTCATTCAATTATGATTCTGGATCCTTGATTTGTTAGGTTTGGATGCATTTCAAGTATCGTAGCACTGAAACATTTCATGTATGTATGATTTATTCCCATTGTGTTATGTCTTGGATTGTGGTTGCCAACTCTTGCTTTTTGACTCTGAAAATTAGCTGGCGATTAGTCTGATTGATCGTGTCTGCAGCATGCATCCAGTTCATATTAAAAGATACCAGATCCTAGGTGCTGCTTGCTTTTGGATTGCATGCAAGTTTACTGAACCAGATCCACCTAGTTACAGTCGTCTAGTGTCGCTTTCTGGAGGCGCATTTGACGCAGAGACTCTCAAGGTAAATTCATTTTTTAGTAAACTGCCAACTAAAACGAATGCCACTCATCATATAACCATTCATGTATCTGAAATACTATTACATCACTTGTTAAATACTCTAGGCGGAGGAGTTGATGGTGTTAAAAAGATTACAATGGAATTTGTCCATGGCAACTCCGTCGTCGTTTCTGGAACTCATGCTGATGTTCATGCCCATTACTTCCCAGCATCGACATGATATATATCAATATGCCATTTCATTTTTAGCCATCATGCCTTCAAATTATCATATGCTACAGTATGCTTCATCCGTACAGAGTGCGGCTTCATTACTGGTAGTATTTGCCTCGACTGGGTCCAACTATGAATTTTGTCACCGTTTTCTAGCGCAACATACTCGTCAACTTATGATGGACAGCTCTGCAATGGCGATGGGATTGCAGCCTCCAATGATGAGTGATGTTAATGCATGCGCGAGTGACATGATGTTGATTGTACGCCAAACATTCCCCGAGTTTAAATATGCAGCTTGTCCAAGTGCACTCTTGCAAAATAAGAGGGAAATGGCTATTCTTCAGCAACCTCGAACTATCCAGACCAAAGATGCTCATTTGCGTAAGCAGCATTCACTCTCGGTAACCCTGTCTGGGTCTACATGTGTCAGCAAAATGAGTGAATCTTCTCATCGCAATAGTACAGCTACTTTGTCTGTTTCTCCTGTATCTCAACAGCTTTTACAAGTTCAACCATCTGGCGTATCGAAAAAATTGACTCAATCGGAAACTGGATCCAAATGTAATGCTGGTCGTCAATCACGACCAGCATTGGTTGCAACAAAACAACACAATGTCTTTGCAAATACTAGTGCTAGTACCCGATCAGTCAAACCTACTAAACCGATTTCTGTCCATATCAATACATCAGAGTTTGAATCTCAGTCCAATTTGATCAAGCGTGCTGTCTCTCCGGTGTATATCGAAACACTTGGATCTCGCCTCAGTCCTAGATCCGCTTTCCAACCACCAAGAGTGATTGTCGAGGATGATGATCCAGAATATGCCGACTTTTCTTTTGCATCACCGACCATGTTATCTGGAAACTTGGATGATACTTGTCTGGGAAAGGATATGTTTTTTATTGGTGGTGATTTGGTTGCTACAACAATCAGTTCTTTATCAGCCTTTTCTGACGGGTATTAGTTTAGTTGCTTATCCAAAAGTAACATTTCTTTTTTGAAATTCATGAATCTCGACCATTGCGCTATATTCTAGACAGCCAGTTGTTTGCTGAACAATACTGTCAATTCCCAATCTAGCATTCCAATTCAACACTTGCTCAACCTCTCATCTTGACGAGTCATACTTGTCTGCATATTCCCTTCTTTGCCCATATTCGTATTCCCTATAATGCTATCATATATCATCACATTGGTCTATCTTTATTCGACTACTACCAATACCTTTTTTAATATCGCTGAATCAGTGTTGACACTGATTTGATTGATCAAACGGTGTGATTCCATATTCTACTACATTTCTGATACAATTAAACAGTCGATTCTTCATTTGTTTTTATTATAATAAAACAGTCTAAAACTTGAATGCAATTTTATACTTTTGTAATTGAGAATGACTATCAAGCTTGTTTTATTCCCATTGATGTAATGCTTTTTCATCTTTCCATCACATAATACACAGGATATGAAATATCAAATCCAATCAAAGTTGGGTATTGTTTGCTGTATCCTTGTCAACTCGGACAATAGCACCACATGGCAATACTTGATAGCAATGTAGACTGTTTTGGTGCTGTGAGATGCAATGATACAACGAGTTTCAGGACCCATTCCAATATGATGCAGCATATTGCAGATAAGCAGTTCATTTGTATCTGGTTGCCTGATACCTTTTACATTGTATTTTGTGGGTCTGTACTGACGAGTCTTGATGTAGCAACAAACAGTCAGTTGTTGTTGACATTCCAAGCGAATCTGGTCTGGATTCCGTTTTTCTTTGGAGATAATGAGATGTCAAACAACTTGTTAATGTCAGCCTTGTAGTGTTGAATGACAGTATTGATTGACAGCAGTTTGAATCGGTTACGTATTTCCATCCAGATACTGTGATATTGGCAAGAAGGATCTTGCAAAGTTGTTGGTTGTTGATGGGCAAGTTGGATATAAAGTTGTTTTCAATCAATCCGTTGACAATCATGATAGCATACTTTGATTTGTATGTATGCAATACTGCTGTCATCTTGTGTATGATGTTTCGTATTTCCACAAACGCATTCCATTTCCAGCTGTTTTCTTTGCAGACATTTGATGTTGTGTAACAATGAGGGTGTAAAATGTAGTACAGAAATAGACGACTAAATTACAATTATTCCAACGGATTTAGCACTCTTGTTCAAGTAAAACGGTATCATCCGATGCTCACTATACACTACTTGTACGTTGAATCATGCCAATCACTTGCTATTTTAACAAGCATGGAATATCACGGCACATATTGATGACCAACTAGTAGCCGAGTGTCAGGCTCATTGCAGTCTCGGTTTGTACTCATTTCTCAACCCTTTTTAGGGTGGAACTGTGTAATCAACCATATGATATTCAAATGTATGGTCAGATATCGGCTCAGCCACGATTGCAGGCCACCATAAAAAGGAAGATCCCTTCAAAATCTGACGTTGATAGCAAATCACCATTCAGCCCTGATAACAACACTAGCCCTTAAGACGGTCATTCAAGGGATATGCTTTTACTATTATCACTCGATAATGATATAAATATGTTTCAAAAACCGACTTGGTGGATGGCATTACAACTTGCTCAACCAAACCAGTAGAATGAAACTCGCAGTTGCAGTATTGTCGTCGATACTGCTTGCATGCTCGGTTACTATTGCCAATCCAATTGATCCCAGTGAAACTACAGATGTTGAAACTATCACTTCAACCGTCATTCCCAGTGAAACTACAGATGTTGAAGCTAGCACCTTGCCAACTCCTAATCCAAACGGTATAGGTTTAGATAGTCTTGATCCACTTTCAGATAGCATCAAGGAATTGCTCAAAGAATACCAGAGAAAACATGTTAGTCTTGAAGAGCAAGTAAAAAAATGTGAGCTATTAAAATCTCAATACAAAGATCAACAGACAATGGTAAAGCACGCAAAGAGAAAGCTTCATGTTTCGAAACATAAATCTCTAAGAGACGGTGGCAATCGGAAGCATGGTAATGAGATTTGGGATAATATGCGTGATATTAAAACCCAAGAAGCCAAACTTGCCGATCTTAAAAAAAGCTACAAAGACTGCAAGTCCAAGTATAGTATTTTTACAGCTGGACTGGATCACATCAAAATGCTACTCGTGGATTATGTTTTCGGAGAATCTTGGGATCTTGAATCACTTGATCAGCAATCTAGTCTTATCACCACACATCCTTCCGTTAATACGTACCTTGAACAACTATCAGTAGAATACCAGAAGCTTCTTGATCAAATCTCTAACGAACGGCAACAACATAAAGAACTTAGTGATCGAGAACGATTTAAACAACTTATCGAACAGCAACAACGTAAAGAACCTAGCAATCAGCAACAACCTAAAGATTCGTAATCATCATCTGTATCCAGGGAATCCAGAGTTCCCTGCAATAAACGGAAAGGGTTTTCCAAGTTTATGGATGGATTGGAATCACTCTTTCAGTGACTCAGAAATGACGATCCATCCAATTGATTTGAATGTTAATCTGTATTGGTTTCAACCAAGTCCGTTGTATTTTTATTTGAATAAAGTACAATTATCATTTGATACTGGATATTGCATTATATCTGATTATTGTACACAGTCTTGGTTGGCATGATATCATATTGTACATTGACACTTGTATTTCCAATACAATACAGTTGATTGTATATTGCATAGTTGTACACATTGATGATGCTGGCATGCATGTGTGTATTGTGTCGATATGATATTGCTTGTCATGTCGTATTGACACATGCAACACCAATACCAGCAACAGTCATGTGTGTTGATATCAGATCCGACCAATTTGGCTGGTTTGACTGGTTTGACTCGTTGATTGTGGTGTCAAAATGGTTGCATCAATAGCCTGACTGATCACACACATCAGTCGCAGTGTCAACTTTGTCTTGTACACCATGTCATTCAGCAGTCTTTTATCAATAGCCCGTAAACCACTCCAAGTGTAACTAGTACGAATCTACCACGATAAACTTTTATTTTCCGTTGATTATAAAGTTATCAAATAACTAGTTCCATCAAACAAAGGCCATTACAGGATAATGATTCCAATTCATGTGTACCATCCGATATTGTAATTTCCAAATCCAATTGGACTTTCAATTGTAATGTCTGATCAAATCGTTTGCTTGATTTTAAAACAATATCGAAGCATATCAGCTAGTTTTCCGTTGCGTTCTTGTATGTATTCTGGGTTACTCTGGGTAAATGCATCCATTTACACTTCAACATTAAATGCTGTCAAGAACTGGTCCATGGATGTATTGTGAGGTACTGCGAGGTATTGGGTGCCAAGTATGACAGAGTGTTTTTGGATGTAAACGACCTGTTTGAAATCATTTGGTAATTATTGTTACATTTGATGATGCTGTCCATTTCAGTGTTTCCGAAAGTTGAAATTCGCATCCCCAAACATTCAACTTTGTAACCCATTTGCTTGAAATGTGCTTGATTTGCATGATAGTTTGATACAAGATATTCATCGATCACCCGTCAATGAGTAATATCATCAGAGTTGGACAACATCCACCAATAATCTTTTAAACTCGTACAGTTTGTACAGTGTTGTCATGAAAGTCATGGTTTGACACATTTTCATCAAGTTACCAGTGAGTATCAACGAGTATCAACCAACAAAATTGGTCTCGTTGGTCGATACACTACTGATGCACTTGCATATGAAACTGTACGAGTTCAATCAATGTTTCTTGCACGGTTGTCAAATGTTCAGATGAAATCAATCTCATGACAGGACACAAAATGTGACATTATCAAATAACAACCAATACTAAACAATTGGGTTACCACATGATGGCTCATTCGGAATGCAAGTGAATCCA